TAAATGACAACATCGTGAACGTGATCAGTTCCGCAATGAGTGTGTGTGTGTGTGTGTGTGTGTGTGTGTGTGTGTGTGTGTGTGTGTGTGTGTGGAGCATTTGGAGTTTGGACTAGTTTCGGCTCCACAATCCAGTGTGTCGTTACTATAATAGCTTTCATGGCTGAGGTTGTTGATACATGTATGTCTGTTGGCTCTGGGTTCCCAGTACTCAGTAGCCGAGGCTGGTTGGTAAAGTAACTCCAATTTCACTTCAAGGTACCAGTGCATCTAGTGTCTGCTTCTATCAAAGCAGCGTGCTGTCTATACTGGTTACTCCAGCAAGTGTAGGGTGTGCATAGGTAACTGTCTTGGCCATTTTATACCGATGTACTCCGTGTGGTGTAGACCAGGTGTGCATTGGTGGTCGATTCACATGACTTCGCCAGTTGTGTGGATTAGACAGTTATCTGGCGCAAGTCTTGATCTGTCTCATTCAGATCTTGTTCGCTATCGTTGCTATAAGAAAAAAATCTGTGGGTGCACATCCAGTGAATTTGCAGATTTGCGTGCTTCTCTTGCGACGGGCGTACACATACATGGTACATGGTGTGTGTGTGTGTGTGGGGGGGGGGGGGGGGGTGATCAGAAAATGAATGCCTTTTTGCAGATCAGATGCTTACCGCCCTCTTCATTGGGATTCTCTGTCATGCCCTGCGTGTCATTGTCCCCATCATCTACATTAGTCGACTGGCTTGCTGCATGGCCGTCTCCAATTTCTACCTCGTGATCATCACCACCACTGTCTGCACCTTCAGTAGCACCAGCCACTATCCCCTGAACGTCCTCCTGGCCGCTCTTCTCATCCGCCACAGAGTCAGTCTCTTGCTCCACATTGTCAGACATGTTGGCATGTGTAGCAGCACATGCCGTGACTCACTTTCAAAACACGACTGTACAACGCAACTATTTCACATGGATTATATTTGCGCTGAGACGGGTAAAATAATTGGCTACCAAAAAGGGGTCGTCTCAACACAGGCATTTTGTAGGCACACACACCATGCACACGGCTAGCAGTGGCACTCCGGCTTCGCTCAGTCGCACAGCTGCATGCAGACGCACACATCTCTCCGCGTCAAATTCAAGCAGACAGTGACTTCCGCGATGTTGCCATGGCCATATGCCGTGTGTTGGCATGGACACCAATATGGCGCAAGGAGTTCTACACTTTTTGGTTGCACAATTTTGCCGAATTCGCTGAAAGAGCGAGAGATCGGAGAAGAGGTGTTGTTGAGTGTTGTCAGAAAGCAATCTTGTTCCTCTAGAGTGTGGCTAGTGCTGTGCCGAACAGTCTTAAAAATGCCTCACCAACCACAAATGCAAGTGCAGAAGCAGTCCTGCTTTCAAGTCATCAAGTTCGGCTTCATGATGGGATTCAGCGTTGGCTGCGCTGCAGGAACTCTGCTTGGAACATACGCAGCAGTCAAGTAAGTGATCAAGTTCCTTTTGCACAGTACACTGTTATACGAGAATGAGATTCATGTTGGTGTTTGTGGACTGTGCACGTCTCGTAATATTGATGCAAGATGTATGGCGCTATTGATGACCCTGATTCAAGATGTACTCGAGCAGATTCTCATTGCGCTCGCCATGAACTCGAACGTTTCCAGATAGAGTTTATTTCGAACATACAAAATTAATAATTTTTTTAAATTATACTCAAAGGGTAAGCAGCAGCTTTCGGCCTGTTTATCAATGAACCAATTCCACCTCCACCACACGCGCTCTCTCGCCGACCTCATTGCACCAGCAACATGACTCCAAGTTGTAGATACTGACAAATCTATTTTCCTCCATACAGCGCTGTTCCGACCACTAAGGTCTCATTGGTGAAGGTTGAGAATAATGAATGGCTAGAATCAATTTGAAGCACAGAGAGCGCATGTGGTGGAGGTGGAATTGCTTTATACAAAATTTTAGTTAAAAATCCAACCCTGAGCTGAAAGAGAGTGTGCAAAACACTTCCTATCTTGCAAATGAAGAAAACCGTCCCCCCAATAATATCCAAATTGTCAATTGTTGCCAAAGAAATTATTTTTGGGTTGGTGTAGTCGTAGATGCAAGTCCAATCGTTCTATAAAGTATCCAAAGAATAATCAACCACGCAACATAGAACTCCCGGTGTGTTGCTGTGGATTGTAATGCCTGTTATTGCTCGGTATGGCTGGGTACATGGCGTTTCATATGGCGAACATAGAAGTGGCATGCCCTGATGCCTGTGACGGAGGTGGGTTGGTTAGTTGGTTGGTTGGTATACTTTATTTTACTTTGTCAGAATGAACAGGCGCTGCTACTTCATACTGGCCAACCCTCCCGTTTTTCCCGGGAAAATCCCGGAAAATCAACACTCCTCCCGGGGTCCAGGGGATTTCAAGCAAACTCCCGGAAAAACCAAAGTTTTGTCTGATACAGGATTTTCCTGAAAAGTCCATGGTTTCTCCCCGAATGTCCCGGTTTTTTGAACTTTTTTCAAAGGTATGTACGGTGCTCATTCGCACTTCGAACTGTGCACAGCACTTTGAAGACCTGACAATGCAAGATCTGCACTGACAAAGTGACAGGCGGGCGCCGACTGATCAAACTGCACTACAGGGTCGATCTGTGCTGTACGCACAGCTGCAGAGTCGAACGTTTTTTGGCGGGAAAAGCTCTTTTTCACTTGTTTTGTGCCATCCAGGGATTTTGAGAGAAATCCAGGGATTCTGCATGTCTTGTCAAGGGATTGAGATTGTGGTGATTGGTCAGTATGCTACTTTCTTTCGAGGTGGCGGTGACAACTTCTGCACAGAAGTTTAGTTTGGGTGTGTTGTCTAACACCATCAGTGCTGCTGCCTCTGCTATTTCATTGTTGTGTAGGATGGGTTTGAGAGGCAGAGAACTAATGGCTGGTGTTGGCAAGTCAGCACTGCAGTCTGGTGGTACTTTTGGAGTATTTATGGGTATTGGTACTGCTATCCGTGGATGCGGCTGATTCTTGGTCTTTCACTTACTACACAAACACAGTACTGCTGGCTGATAGTAAGTTTGCACATGACAAGGTGACTAGGTGACAAGGTGAAGACATAGATACACTGAGCTGATGGACAGAATGTACCCTTTCCTTATTTGCTATATGCTTATTATGTTTATTAGTGTCACAGCTACTTGTTCATTATTGAGTTCTGCCGGATTTCTTTTGCTAACTGAGCTTACTTATCAAGCATTCTTCCTGGGACATGCTGCCTGCTGTTGCCTACTGTTGCTGCTGCTGCTGCTATGGTATGTGTGTACTGTCGGTCGGCATTGCCTAGTTGACACCCTGGCTGAGTGCACTGCTGGCATGCTCTGCACTGATCTTGACTGACTGTGTCCTATCACTGCCTGCTCATGTAATCACGTGTATCATCAGCTAGATTATGGCAGCGGGCATGCATGAGGTCGGTGTAGATTATGGCAGCGGGCATGCATGAGGGCATGCATGAGGTCGGTGTGTGCGTACTACTATGCGTTTCACTAACACCATTTCTTTGACTGGTGGACGTTTTTGTCATCTTCTTGTTAAGTTGAGTGCAAATACTCACTCAGTTCTCTTTCTAAAAACTGACTGAAAAATTTGCAGTGTGTACCGGTAGCTTCAATATCTTGTGTGAACACATGTTCGTTGTCACTTTGAATGAAAGTTCCTTCAACAGTGTTGTTCCTTCTGTGAACACCACCATGCCAGACGCTTCCACCGTGCGTAGAGCTTTTAAAGAGATAGACGAAACCAGCTCATTGAAAAGCATTTTCTGAAGCTTGCCTCCACACACACACACACACACACACACACATAAACGCACGCACACGAACATGTGCGAGAACTACTGCCTGCCTGGTATAACCAGTCTCGTAACTTGAAGTGTGATGCCAAGCAGCGGATCGAAGCTCAAGACAAGTTCCGGTGCACTGCACGTTTCACAATGTCGAATTAATAATTATTCTATTTTATACATGTGAATCCGTAGTGACTACCAGATAGTACTGTGCTAACTGCTACACAGTATTCAGTATTGCCATTCAGTGATAGCACTGCGTGTAGTTCTTGCAGTGCTTCCATGATGTTTCCCTTGATAAGGAAGGACATTATTGCGATATATGAGAGTGTGGGTATGTGTTACATACTATTATTAACATATAATGCTACGTAACGCCTATGTGTGTGTGTGTTTGTGTGAATTGCTACTATACAATTAGCGTGCAACATAGGTCTCCTGATGTCATGTTGAGAAATAATACAGTAGAGTCGTGCGCCGAAGAACGTGGAGACCAAGAACGTCCAGCCTGTAATGCTAAGAACGTTGGTGTTGGTTTTCTGGCAACTTTTGGGATACATATGATCCAATACGAATTGTTTCAAAGAACGTGCTATAAGAACACAGTCAGATTGCAGAAAAATAAGAACGCCAGGCTAACCCCTTGGAAACAACGTTCTTGGACGCGCGACTCTGCTTTAGGGCCTGGCTGTATATTCACTAACCGAGTTCTACAGACCAGTTATCACATTTAGAGAACACAATCATGCTGCCTACATTATGTGCAAGTCCAGTATGATATCTGCTCTGGTCAATTTCATTGGTTTCTACTGCTTGGCAGTAAAAAATACATAATTATCGTGTGTTGGCTGTATTGCAGTTCATTGGAATTCATGTTCTCACAGCAGAGATCTCACGTGTAGTCACTGAAAGTCAATGAGGGTGCATGGCCATTCTTGGTCAGTTTCTGATGAGGGTGCATGGCCATTCTTGTTCAGTTTCCGATGAGGGTGCATGGCCATTCTTGGTCAGTTTCTAACGGTGCACTGTGATGATGTAGGCGAGATGTTGACGTCTTGACCGCGTACTCGCACAGTTGTTTCTCCAGCCTCTGCTCCGGATAGTGTTCTGTGTACGCACTGGTATCGTCCGCTGTGTTCTGCTGCAAGCGAAACAATCACCAGCTGTCCTTTATCGGAGATGACTGAGGTGGCTGGCAGTGGTAGCTCGTAGCCATTGGCATCTAGGAAGTACCAGTCGAGTACTGGGTATGCACGTGGTCCCACGCAGCACGTCAACACCAGTGCATCACCCAGCACAAGGTTTGCCATGCTGGCGTGTATACTGACATCACTGAACGGTATCACCAGGTCACTATTGCCAGAGTTTGGCATGTCTGGACCACCGGTTCCTGCAGGCACGCCGCCATTGTCCGCACCACTGTTGCTGGATCCAGCACCTGGACGGATAGGTCCCGGTGTTGCTACAGGAGCTCTGTCAACTGCAACGCAAAAGAAGAGGCAAGCAAAATAGACAGGGAATATCATTTAGTGCTAACCAAAATTTCATGGCACTGGTTTTTCAGTTACGACGGACTAGAGCAAAACATGCTGCATAAGACGTACTTCAAAGTACTATTTGTGGTAGTCCCATGCAGGGACAACCTTTGATTACACAAACTTTTGTTCGCTTCTGGAGTAAATCTCTCTCTCTCTCTCTCTCTCTCTCTCTCTCTCTCTCTCTCTCTCTCTCTCTCTCTCTCTCTCTCCAACGGCTGTCAAGAACAAGCTTGCTGACGGACCAGCATGCCACAGCCAAGAGAAGGAACTGCCATGTAAGTAAAGCTGTGACCGGCAACTCCATCAATGTTATAAACCGGCAGGTAATGTTATGTACTGCTGTGGTGCAGGTCACAGTATGCTGTGGTGCAGGTCACAGTATGCACAATACAGTAGCAATACTAAAAGGGATATTTAGCTGTTTACCAGATTTCTTTCAGCTCTCCTTGAACCAAGAAGTCACCGGATTTGCATAGAACATGGTGAGTTGGTTGCCATATATCCTATATCATTCCTGCCCAAGTCAAGGCTGCATAGTGGAACATGACTAACTAACCAACTAAGACTAAGTCACATGACTAACTAACCAACTAAGACTAAGTCACGGCTTCGATGGTACTAACCAACATTCAGGTCAAGGAATGCTTCCGTTTGCCCCTGCGCTGTTCTTGCCAGGCATGTGTATCGGCCCATGTCAGCCTTGGAGATGTTGCGGAAGAAGAGATCATTGCCCACTTGGATGGCAGCAATGGGATGTGGTCTGAACACAACGGTTACCTTGTCGCCCTGTGTATTGGTTGCATTGCACTGGAGACGCAACAAGTCACCTTCTCCCACTTCAGCATTGCCATCACCAAACTGGACTCGTAGAGACGTTGATGCTGTAAACACAGAAGAGAAGGTTTGCAACTGTGTATAAATTGATTCTTCAACAAGACATTGAGCTCACCGTGCCGATGTGCACACTTGCAATTCACAGATGCAATCTGATCGCTTCTTGTCCCGAGTTAGCACTTGCCGTTACCAGGAGTCACAGCAACGCTGCACTGCTGCACTGACTCAGACAGTAATTCTCACTGCTTGCTTTTCTCCAGCCTCAGACACTGACGTTTCGCCACAGTGCAAACATGACATAAATGGCATTCCATGGACTCGGAAGGAGAGCCAAGGATTAATTTTTAGAAAAGAAAAAGGACCAAGGTCAGTGTCGTGCAATGTTATCGCAGGAGCTGATTGTTTAGTAACTGGTGGTGTTAGTGGACATTATAGCGTAACTTGTAGTTCCTAGGTCCTTTTTTTCTTTTCTATAAATGGCATTCGGTCAGCATTAACGTTAGCTTGTCATGACGCCGTGTACTTACTTGGTGGTGAAATACAGCGTGTGCGAGTGCTGACACCTGGCAGTAGCTGACAAACCAGTGAGCCGTTGGTGCACAGGCATTCCTTGCACGTGCCAAAGATCTGCAACTGGATCTCCTCCACCTTGGAAGCAATGAAGCCTTTGGTGAATGACTCTCTGTACTGCTCCGTTCTGAGCATGGACAAGTCCCATGCACCACCACCAGTTTCGTTAGCCATGACTATGTAATCTGGCTTAGTTGTACCAAATCCGGTGTCCTTCACAAACTCTCCATTGGGTAAGAATGCAAAGTCAGTCAGGTCTGGAGTGGCCACCACAGCTCGACCACGCCGATCCAAACCAAGTGCACGGAAGTATCGACCAATCTTATCCCGGCCACGGAATCGTCCTTGAACAACTACATTCAGGATACAGTCCTCTCGAGCCAAGTCGTTCAGTACACGATCATATGTCCAGTCTGTTTCTGCATCTCGATCTTCATCTGTAATGAGAATAATTTGACAGGCTACAACGAGTTCGCTGGCGCTGCGTGTCTTGCGCTCCTGCATGCATGATAGCTGATTGAGAGCCGTTGCCATAGCGGAGTAGCCATCCTCACGCCGACCATCGATGTGTAAACCTTCGAGACTTTGTCGAAGCTGAGCTGCACTGCCACAGTGCTGTCCCTGGCGACCAACAGGAACAATACGACCAAGCGCTGATTCTGGCCTAGGGTTAGGGCTGGCAAATCCTACTAGAGCATACTGATTTCCACGTACATCACGCTCAACAAGATTCTGCTCCAACGTTACGGCCATGGTTTTTAGCCACTGGTGTTCACCGACCATAGAACCAGACTCATCCACCACAAACACTACCAATGCTGAGCCGGGTAGGTTGACAATGTCATCGCCTCGTATAGTAGAGTAATTGCGCTCAGAAGTGCCATGTAGTATTTCCGCACCGCCTTCCGTAGGGCACGACTCTGCAGTACACAAGCAAAATAGACAAGGCCATGGAATGCCCATCATTCCGGTGCATTGCTAGTCTACAAGGGTCTAGGGTCAACTGCATGCTACGGTTATTTCCAGTGCATTGCATGTGTGTGAATGCAACTTGAATATGTGTGAGTTTACTTGTAATAGAGATGAAAGAAGAAACGAAACGTGGGAGTACAACAATGACCCGCAGCCGGCAGAGACCAAGACGTGCAACTGCCGCAGCAAGCCCGACTGTCCCATGAACGGGCAGTGCCTAAACAGCGGCATTGTCTACCATGCCGATGTGAATGCCGATGTGAATGCCGACACAGCTGAGAACAAATTCTACTATGGGCTCACGGAAAACACGTTCAAACAAAGATACAACAGCCACCTCACCACATTCCGGCATGGGCGGTATGAGAAAAGCACGGAACTGTCTAAGCACATATGAGAGTTGAAGAGGAGCAAGGGCTTACTCCAGCTCAAGCAAGAGGTGTGATCTCTGCCTCCCGGAGAAGCTCTTCATCACCCGTGCAGATAAGGCCAGATGCCTCAACAAGCGATCCGAGCTCGTGTCGAAGTGCCGCCATAGAACAAATATTACTTGTCAACTTTTGTCACCTGATTCTCAAGAATATCACTTATTTTTAAAATACACAGAAAACTAACAGTACTGCTGCTATATACAGCGGCGGCTGTACTGCATGAATGTGGCAAGCCGGCCCAGCGTAACAATTACCATGAATGTGGCAAGCCGGCCCAGCGTAACAAATACCATGTGATATGTAGCGCCATATGGAGTGTGTGAGAAAGTGTTAGTTATCTGTGCATTGCTACGCAACATATTCTCGGGGAATCAGGTAACAAAGCTGGCAATCGATGTTATTTCGCGTAGCTGCAGAGAGAAAGTCTCTGGGCAGGGTCAGTATCGGTTTTCGTCTGATGATCGATTCAGTTCGTGAAACTCAGAGTTACGAAAAACAACTACTCCTTCTTTCTGTCTGTGTAACTTGTGACATAGAAGTCATGAAGTTGTGAAATTCCCCTGCAATAGTTGTACATGTGCAGTGCACATTTAGATACATCATGGTATCACTGCATCATGTGGGCTTAACTTACGAGCAACGTTGATACACTGCACCGCACTGGAGTTGCCCTGGCTGTTGATAGCAATGCAGCGGACACATGTGCGTCTCGTCACATCGCGCAGTCGCAGGATGTTGCCTTGGTCGCCGAGAATGTCATGAGCACTTGGCAAGTCGCCACCATCAGCCAGCACCCAGGTAAAGTACGGTGCCGGATCACCTTCAGCATAGCAATGGAACTCTGCTACGCCGCCGGGATTGACAGCATCAGGAACATCTTCTGGCGCTTTGGGACCACCACCGCCGCCTTCACCACCAGTCACTATGATCTCAAATGGTGGTTCACCTACACCAATCAAAGCAGGACATACAGTTTACAAAAATCCACTTAGACTTGGCTTTCAGTGGATAACACCAGCTCCTAGTCAGGAGGAAGTAAAGCTTTGCGGCATGATTTTTCAATTCATACAATCATGTAGATGTCATGCTGCCAAATCTCGCTTTCATGCTTCATGCGTGTCCTGTGAAAAGCCTGTGAAACCGGAAGTAAATGTTTGTGCACTGGTGCAAGGCAGTACTCAAAGACTGGCTGAACAGCGCCGCCTACACAATGACGTGTATATCTTTGCAGAGAATGTGCAATACGAATGGATTCTACCTGCGCTTACAAAGTAATATCTGTGTATTGAACATATCCGTATTGCTTTTAAAGCAGGTGCATGTCTTTCCGGGCAGTACGCACAGCGTGAGTTCCACTGTACTTAACTTGTGCCTGGTCATGCTCTTAAGCAAGTACATGTTGCCCAAATGCACTGATTCTGTGCCCCGCTTCACCCTACAAAATAGCAATACAGTTTGCACTTCTGCCAGTTAGCAAGTGGAGGAATAAAACTCCAGCATCTACTAGCTGGCAAATACACTGGTGGTCAATAAACTGATCTGTCCGTACAAACCCGAGACAGAAACACTAGTGTACGCTGTGACTTGTGGCAAGTAGTATTATTGGGCATAGTTAAGAACAGGTTTGAGTGTACGATGACTTACCAAAGCATCCTTTTTGACATAATGGCATTGGTTCACCTTCTATGCAGACACAGCGCTCACAAAGCTGCCGTGTGATCTCGCGTTCCTTGAGCCACACAAATGCTTTGGTGAACGCATCGGCTGTGGGGCCACCGACTCGCAATTTATTCAAGTCCCAGGCTCCTCCACCGGTGGCGAATGCCAACAGGGTATAGGCGCGATGAGTACTGCCATGTGCAGAGTCCACATTGGCAACTCCAACACCACGCAGTACTTCAAACTCGCCACTTCCAACCTCAACAAATCCGTCTCGACTGCTTCCAACACCCAGCGCACTTTTACTGTCAGCTGACATCTGTTGATTGACAACAACATTGAGTGCGCAGTTCTTTTCTTGTAGCATTGCCAGTATAGTGTTGAATGTCGGTGACGCTGTAAGGCTGGAGTTGACTGGAGGTGGTAAGACGGTGCGGCCTTCATCCGTTACACCCACAATCTGACACGCTAGACCAGGTCGGAATGGATACTGTTCAAGAGCGGTCACTATACCATAGTACATGTCCTCATCACGCCCATCCAGTGCCAGCTCTACTGTCGCATCACTCAAATCCAGAGCCGAGCCAAACAAGCGACCGTTCTCCATGCGGATAATGCGCCCTGTCTTGTGAGCAGGACTGTCCTTGGCAAACCCAACCAAGCCGAAGTAGTTGGGCATGGCAATACCAATTCCTTGCACTGCCAGTGCTTTGTCTAACTGATCACTGAGACGACTCAGCCATTGATGCTCAGTTACCATGGACGCCGATTCGTCAATGACAAAGATGATGTCAGCAGCAGGCGGTGAAGCACGGCGAGTTTCGGTGAGGGGAAAGTCCCTGGTTTCATCAATATCCAGCTCCACGCCATTCTTCACACATTTTCCTATGAGGTGGAGTGCAACATGCCAAACAAGACGAAGAAAAAGATGGTGAGTCAATCGGCACTTGAAATGCCAGGACAGCAAAGAAAGTGTTCGGATACGGACCACTTCTACCCAAGCCCATAACAACACTAGTCTTAACTCCATTCTTATGATGGGCAGGGGGGGGGGGGGGGGAGAGAGATAATGTAAAACCATACACACATGTGTGATATGGAGAGTAGGCTACAGGTCATCATGGATCTACATATCGATACACGTTGCTACATCATGTCAATGGTAGGATTCAGCACAGCCACTAATCTAACTAAACCATGAATATGCTGCTCAACCGATTGCCTTATATTATTATATAAGGCTTTACCTGTAACATTGCCTTACCTGGTACAATACGCACACAGACCTGACCATCCATAAAAGAACCTTCGGGACAATCACACACATATGATCCGACTGTATTCTTGCACTCAAAGTTCTCTCCGCAGGGACTATCGAAGCACTCATCCTGATCTGGAACATCAGCGCACAGACAAAGAATCATAAAGGCGGAGAAGGAAATGAAGGAAGAAAGCAATGAATCATGTTGTGCAGCTGGGAGGCAACCCAAATGAATATCACACAGACGATAGGTTCAAGCCCTTGGCCTCTTGTATGCAAAGTGTCTACCCCACAGCCTAACTCCCAATGTGTGGCTGTGTGTCGTTCATTGCGGCAAGCGTGCATTGTTTCAACCCTTGGCTAGACGACATGCCTGTAGATCAAAGCCTAGCTAGTGATTGTGTACCAAGTTGCCCTAGCTCAGTCTCATAGGCTATAGGCAGTAAAGAGGAATCAACCGTTTATTTGGCTTGGGCATACTAGTGTTTAGCAATGATAACCGCAGAGCATACACACCACAGAGGAAGTTTTGCTATTGCAACATTTCAACTCACCGCCACATACTTCCCCATTGCCGATGAAGCCATTCTCACATGTGCACAGGTAACTGCCGGCTAGGTTAGTGCAGAGTGCATTCTGATCACAAACATCCACAGCTTCAATACACTCATTCACATCTAAGAGAGAGCGCAAAGCAACATAGGAGACAGGACATGGCGACTCAGGCTTAAGATGTGATATAGGACCGCCGGAAGCAGTTTTCAATCAGTCCGGCCATACTATCTATCATAGTCTTTCATACTTGACACTTGGAAGTATGTATGATATGGCAAGGACAAAGTCATGATATGGTGAGGACAAAGTCATGATATGGCGAGGACAAAGTCATGATATGGCGAGGACAAAGTCATGATATGGCGAGGACAAAGTCATGATATGTCGAGGACAAAGTCACAAAAGAGTAGTAATATGTCCACTAATACTCGCACAAAGAGTGTATGTTTGGGTATTACGCTCCTCGGCATTCATCTTGCTCAGCACTCTCGGTAGGCTGCTTTAGTGCTGCTGCGTTATGCGTCGCTCGCTACTTTCGTATTCGGAGCACTCTGACGCTAGAGCGACGAGCTATCTTAATGTGTGTGGTGCCACATTTGCACCATGGCCGGTAGTTCGGCTTACTTAAAGCTCTTCGCTGTACTGATGAGGCCTAGATGGCCGAAACAGATAGCTGTCTACAGAATTGGGTATGTATGTACATGTACATGCATGTATGCTTGCGTTTAGCTTGCATGCCATGCTGCATGGGCACAAACATACCTTTGCAAACAGTGGGACTGACTTGTTCATATCCTGGCAGACAAGTACAGTTGTAACCGTGTGTTGAGCCAGCACAGACAACACCCTCCACGCCACATGGTAAACTGTCACATGGGTCTACATCTGCAGTATTCACAACAGGAAAGTGAAAAGAATGGTTACAAAAAAGACATATGTACATATTCAAAGAAGCATAAACTAAAACTTAATTAGTTGTCAATCCGGTAGGCCGGCTCCCAAGAACACGCTTCCAAGGCGACTGACCCAATAACAACATGTTATAGTGAATTGGGGAAACAGTTGAGGCAAGAAACACTAGAAGCAAAAGTTATCATCCTATTGACTATGAATACTGAATATCGACTATGGACATTGCATATTCACAAGACAGTGTGTCATCATGTTTGACAAGACAGTGTGTCATTTGACAAGTAGATCACTACGCACACTTCCACACACCTCTAATTGTCATTGCGTCATTAGCTATCAAAGCTAGCCAATCACTGTATTCGATAAAGTCACACATAATGATCAATTCGAATCAGTACAATAATGTACTTACAGACACACATAACTGCTGGATCACCATAGTAACCGTCTTCACATCGACATTCAGCTGTACGTTGATCTGCACCCGGTGGTGTTGTCTCCACACATACGGCGTGTATTCCACACACAACATCACGGCATGGGTCCAATGCTGCCGGCATAGCACACCCAAACCCGCACATGTAGAGAAGACTACAGTCCATTCAGCTATCACAGGTGCATGTCTAGGTGCTGGTATCTATTGCCGTGTCCCGCTGCTGCCAGGTGTCTGTGTACTAGTATTTGTTCGTCTGCTTCCCTCTTCCCACGGGCCGTGGTGTATACAACTTACAAGGAACATCTCCAGGACCCCACAAGCTACATTCAACTGCCAATACATTACGACGGAGCTGCTCATGCATTTCCTCATTTCGTTCCATTATTAAGTACACGCCTTGTATCCCGAAGACGCAAGTAATTGTCTGCAATATGGTGCTAAGAGTCAGCCTAAGTGGACATATTTCAGACGTGGCCGGGTGGGGGGGGGGATCTGAGAACAAAAGAGAGGTGGTGATACCGGTATTCTTGTTTAATACACTGTGCTCATGCTAACTACCAGTATCAGCTGCAAGCTGTCAAAGAGTGCCGGTGCTAAGTCTTGCAAGTGCAATACATAATCATGGTAACATGTTTCACCACTAAACTGTCAAAGAGTGTACTTGCAAGTACACACTCTTCAACACTAACACTGGCTTAAGCTACCAGGCCAGGAAAGAATGTCAGATGGAAGCACTGTTCATGATGATATCACACACACACACTGTGACAGGCGGGAACTTCAATTACGAGTACATATACAGGGGTAATGTCAATTCCTTGACAGTTGGTTGTGGACTCACGTTGACAATGTGTACCATTGCCTGTGTACCCACTCGGGCAGACACATTCATATGTAGCAATCAGGTTGAAGCACAGTGCTGCCTTGTCGCAGTTTGTTAATCTTGCCGCATCACTGCACTCATCTACGTCTGTAAGGGGTTAAGAAAAGACAGTGTAAGACACCCACACACGCCCCCCCCCCCCCCACACACACACAACCACACCCACCCACACACGTGCATGCACCCGCGCGTACCCCCCCCCCCCCCCCACACACACACATGCTTTTGGACTGGCTTTTCACACTCCGCTCAGCCACCAGCCACACTGATCGGCACTGAGACACGCGGTCAAGTTTGCCATATGCTCGCACTTCCCGTCGCGCGTTTAGGCATGGCCTTAACACCATATCATTTCTCGCTGCTAATCGCTGGAATGCTTTACAGTCTTGGATTTTCAAGAAAGCATTGAACATGTTACCATGCTAAACGGAAGCCTGCACAAGCTATAATGGTAGTGTGCTTAGAGATCAGGTAAACTCCCCAGGATACTGCCAGGAACTGATGCAATCCATAGTCCCCAGGAAACTCCAAGTGATGAGTCTGCAAGGCTAGCGTTAATCAGACACAACCAAAAGGGTGTAAAGCGTGACTCCAGGACACTCCATACCAGCAAGCATACACAGACACCTCACAGCTCTCTGCAGGTACTTGTGCTTATGTGTGTGTGTGTGTGTGTGTGTGTGTGTGTGTGTGTGTGTGTGTGTGTGTGTGTGTGTGTGTGTGTGTGTGTGTGTGTGTGTGCATGTGTGCATGTGTGTTAGTATAGCTTCTGATCAGTTTGTCATGTGACTGTACTTGTGTATACACTTGGCATGCGGCTAGTAGAACCAACATGGCAGCAATATCATGTGACATACAATGCAGATGCAGGGTTGGCTCCGAGGTATATTGGACTGACCAACATGGCTACCAACATGGCTGTCCTGTGTGGTCATGTGCTAGATGTTCAACATCTGTATACATGTTACGGGTGCCAGTGGGGTGTATACATGTTACGGGTGCCGGTGGGGTGTATACATGTTACGGGTGCCGGTGGGGTGTATACATGTTACGGGTGCCAGTGGGGTGTGTACTTATAATTACATACTGAGTCCGAGGTGTTTACGAGAAATAAAAACCGACACAAAACCCGAGGCGAAGCCGAGGGTTTTGTGTCGGTTTTTTATAGTTCGAGTAAACACGAGGACGAAGTATGTATTTTATTTAAATTATACTTATAAAAACCGATTTTCGTTTTGGATTTTCGTACCTATTTCGGCGCATGCTCGAACTTACTCCTCGTGTTTCAACTTTCTCCTCGTGTTGTTTATTTTGGTTTACGAGTGTAATGGCTTCTTCAACGTCTACTGGACGTTTTGCGTCCGTTTCTGAAGAAGAAAGGAAGAAACTTTTGGAATCAGCAGTTCCTAAGTCAACCAAAGTTGCAACGAAGTTTTGGTTGAAGGTGTTCAGCGATTTTTTGATGCAGGAGAGCTTGTCTTGTGATTTTGCTACTGTCGAAGACAAGGTACTGGCGGAAATCCTCGAAAGGTTTTACTGCTCCGTGAGAACTCATGACAAGAAGGAATATAAACGGGCCAGTCTTATAGCTGCAAGAGGAGCCTTGCAGAGAGAAGTCAATGACCGTGACCGGGGCTTCGATTTGAAGCGTGGCGTGTTTGTCAAGGCCAACAAGCTCCTCGATGCCGTCCTCAAGGACAAGAAAAAAGGAGGCCGCGAGGCTCCTGTATGCCACAAGGAGAGTTTGTCTGATGGCGATTGGCTGCTCATCAAAGAATATTTTGCTGATGGGATGACGACAATGGACCCACGCAAGCTCTGCCAGTTTGTTTGGTTCTACATCACCCTGCAGTTTTGTCTTCGAGGCAACGAGGCCCAAGAAGGAAGACGAGGAGTGAGTAGCTCAATTCTCTCCTTTTGATCATATGTATGTGTGTCTCTCATCTTACCATTCTTGAGTGGACTATTTAACCTTTCCAGTTCAATTTGTGCTCTTCTGATCTTGCTCTGCATCTGTTTGTACTGTTTTCGTGAATACTCTTATCTCTTGTTCTCATCTACCCCTAAAAATAGGTTTTTTATACAGTTTTTTTATACAGGTTTTTTATAGCCGGCAGGTTTTTTATACAGGTTTTTTTTATAGCCACCAGGTTTTTTATACAGGTGTGTATGAAGTATAGAAACTTCTAACCCTACACGACAATGGAGGTTTTTATAAGTATAATTTAAAATACGGGTGCCGGTGGGGTGTGTACATGTTACGGGTGCCAGTGGGGTGTGTACATGTTTGGGCACGAATACATAAGAGTATACATATCCGTTGAAAGTAACATTTCTTACCACTACATGCTTGTCCTGTGCCAGTGAAACCTTCTTCACACGAACACACTGCTACACCGGTACTTGCATCACATTCAGCATTGACATCACAGCCATGTATTCCATTAGCACAGGGATCAATGGCTGCACGCGGGACATCAACCATGCAGAACAACACACCCAATCGTGCCCACATCATGCCGGCTTCAGTAGAACTAGGCTGACATGTACAATTGTGAGACTCGCAACACATTGTTCTGCTTAGACAAAAAGGAAAAATGGAATGAGTGTGTGATATAGCAAACTCTGTCAAGGGCACTGCTCTGTTGAGGCGGCCGCCTGTCCCAGTGGACCTTCAGAACGAGAACCAAATGGTGCGGCCATTTCCAGTGATATCATTTAGCCCTGGACACGGGCATCAGCTATGCTCAGGAATGTTTTGGGTGTCTTGAACAAATAGGCGCACGGACAACACACATACCGTAAAGTCAGCTGCAAACGCCCACCCCATTTTTGCAAGATCTGCTGGCCTATTCGCACTGAACCCATGCACTTTCACCCCTGCTGTACGAAAGTGCATCTCACACCGTAGCGTGAGGAGTGCTTTGCTACGGTAAACTATGTCCATTTTCCGGGTTTCAAAATGTTTTTGGGCACTAGTTACGAGCTAGCTCCTAGTGATTTTATGATGTTGGTTGTTTTATTTTGCAAATCCAAACGGCAGTTACTTCGGAATAACAAGGTAGCGAAGAACAGGCTATTGCAGGAACCTTCGTACACTTCTGACGGTGTTTCAAGCCATCATTTCCAAATCACGCAACGCGCAATGGCAAGGTTTTTTTCGAGCACTTCAGAGTTTTCAACAAAATAGCAGCGACTTTGTAGGTGTAGCTTCTGTGACATCCCCCCTGTTCGACTTGCAACTGCAATACTGCGACGTTGAATGACGCTTCGTCAGAACAATCACCATTCCATTCTGAAAGCGCGACATCGTGTTAATGCAGAAATTTCATGATTTGAAAACCAGATGTATTCTACGGCATTACTTCATGGAGAACGAACTAATAACAAAGACGACTCATTCATCGTATGAAAGGAAATCTCGACCGAAGTTTTTTTCTTTGCAGCAAGATAATGACAATCGCTTTTGCAGAGCCTCTTGGTAAGACATAGGCAGTTTGTAGGCATTTCAGTCGTTCTCGTCCGCATTTGACCTTCATGCCAGTTTTCTACAACTATATTGACCTGGAAAAGACGAAAATAATATGGACCCGCTGGGGTGGGCGTTTGCACCGAAGTGGGCGTTTGCAGCGGACTCTACGGTACATGCACTTGCCAGTCTAGCTACACTTGCACACTGTAGCTACACTTGAACAGTCTAGCTATACTTCTGCAGTCTAGCTATACTTGTACACTGTAGCTATACTTGTGCAATAGCTATACTTGGACAGTGTAGCTATACTTGGAGAGTGTAGCTATACTTGTAGAGTGTGTACTTACGGACACATCGCCGCCCATCTCCGGTGTAACCAGGTGGGCAAATACACTCATACGCGCCGGGAGTGTTACGGCATGTAGCTAGTGGATGGCAGCGCACATTACTGCACTCGTCGCGATCTGGTACAAAGACAAACAATGGGAGATCAGACGCACATGCCCGCGAGCACACCCACACACCCACACATATACACAAACACACACAACCAGTTATATCGGCTCTGAAAACAGCCATTAGTGCTGCTCTTTAGGTAGTAAACCTGAGATAATGCCAGTAAACAGATCTGCTGCCAATATATTTACCACGCCATATAGTGCAGAGTATGGCAACAAGGCGGATGGCTTACCATTGCACATTGGCTCCTGCCCAGTCCATTGGCCACCGTCTTCACAGTAGCGAATTCTCCCGCCAGCGATGTTAAAACCGGAGTTGCAGAAGTAGATAGCAATGGCTCCAACACCACTGCCAAAGATGCGCACTGTGCCGTGAAGTGGATTGTTCAAGTCGTCACATTCATTGGCTGAAATTGGGAATGTTTGCATGAACACATATACTCACATGTAAGTAAGAGTATTTTGAAGAGTATTCACTACTGAGAGGCAATACGATTGAAGCTAATTGCAACATTTTGCACCCTTCAAACACTATTATTTGTTTCTGCAAATCCCATCTATCATTACTCTCTGTCTCTTTCTGTCTCTCTCTGTCTCTTTCTGTCTCTCTCTGTCTCTCTCTATCTCTCCTCCCTGTCTCTCTCTGCCTCTATCTCTGTCTCTCTCTGCCTCTCTCTATCTCTCTCCCTGTCTCTCTCTGCCTCTATCTCTGCCTCTCTCCCTGTCTCTCTCTATCTCTCTCCCTGTCTCTCTCTGCCTCTATCTCTGCCTCTCTCTGCCTCTCTCTGTCTGTATGTCTGTCTCTGTCTGTCTGTCTCCCATTTCAACGTGCTCTTCACAAAGAAAGTGCAACTCCATACTGAAGCACAAAAATCTTAAGTTTTTAGGAAAGTCAGTGGACGAATATAACAATGTCCAACTTGCACTAGTGTGTCTCATTCCTTCAGACTCATCCGGGGTGTTAACTGTTTAGGAGTCTTGTCAGTCAACAGATTTGCAAAAAAACACATCACTCGCAAGTCCTGAATCCCATTATCTCCCACATAACTTTTCTCCCGAAAGCTCAATGATCCCGACATGACTGCATGAGGATGGAGTGAGGGTTGTACATGCCATCACCTATCCCCACACTGGAGTGGTATATCATACTAGTAGTCTAGTAGTAAGTAGCATACTGGCAGCAGTACTTACACACACAGCATACTGGCAGCAGTACTTACACACACAAACTCGTCCATTCCCAGTGTACCCAGCTACACATTCACAGTTGTATGTGCCTGGTAGGTTGACACACACGGCATTGCGATGGCAGTCGTGTATTCCCAGAGCACACTCATCAATATCTGTAATATAGGCAAGTACAGCATACTTCAAGGCACACAACATGTAGGCCAGTAGGCCAGTAGGTTCACCTACATGTATACCCAGCTCATATTAACCCCCACCACTAATTCCTGTTCTTTCTCATACCTGGGGTTTATGTATAGGATATTGACCAAGATGAGGTCTATATGGGAAATGTAGGCAGAAGCGCAAACCAACAACCTTCCAACTTGGAAGGCTCAGGTGCGGAAAATTCCAATGAGGGGAAGGGATGCGCCACGAAGATGTGTACGAGCTCTGTCCAGCAGCAACAAACTTACGCTTTCCAACTGCCGTAAGAGAGTTGGAAAGCATGTGTCTTTGTGCGTAGCCATGACAATCATGGTGGTTCGGTTCGAATCTGCGCAAAGCAGACACAGCCCAACGTGGTTGTCACTTCACAGTGGCCTACTTCCCTGATAGGATCAGAATCCTCCCACCCACCCACATTCGGTGGTGAACTCAGGATTTCCGTGTCCATCTTCTCACCCATCCACAGTCGGTGGAGAACTCAGGAATATCGCGTTCCTTCTTTCTCGTGCGCATTTTGGTATTGTTTTTTGTTTGTGTGTGTGTGTGTGTGTGTGTGTGTGTGTGTGTGTGTGTTGTGTGTGTGTGTGTGTGTGTGTGTGTGTGTGTGTGTGTGTGTGTGTGTGTGTGTGTGTGAGAGAGACTGATGTCTGTACATTTACTTGATGAGTAACACGCACAGGATAAGACAATCTTCAAATACCATACAGGAGAAAAGGAGATTGCAAGGGGATCCCCCTAATTGATGGTGACTTACCCCTGCACACAAACCCATCACCGGTGTATCCATCCAAACACACACAGCGGAATGATCCTGGTTCATTGATACAGCGAGCGTTCGGACTGCACGGATTGTCCAGGCACTCATTCACATCTGAAAAATGTACATTAGGAAAGAACAAGTCACTCCAATGTGATCCGAGAGCGTGGAATTGTCCCCTTTTCAAAACACCAATGTGCCGGCCTGGAGAATTAGTTCTTTATAGCCGAAGTTCTTCATAAGAAAAGAAAAGGACCAAGGAACTACAAGTTACGCTATAATGTCCACTAGTATGTTAGTAGTTCCTTGGTCCCTTTCTTTACTATAAATTAATCATTGGCTCTCCATTCGAGTCTATTCTTTATAAGAGAAAAGTATTTACACAAGTAACATGCCATGCCTGGCAGGTATTTGCACAAGTAACGTGCCCATGATGCCTGGCAGGTATTTACACAAGTAACATGCCTGGCATGATGCCTGGCATGTATTTACACAAGTAACATGCCCATGATGCCTGGCATGCCTGGCAGGTATTTACACAAGTAACATGCCTGGCATGATGCCTGGCATGTATTTACACAAGTAACATGCATGGCATGCCTGGCATGATGCCTGGCAGGTATTTACACAAGTAACATGCCTGGCATGCCTGGCATGATGCCTGGCATGCCTGGCATGACTACATGAGTGCACTTGGTTACAGAAGGCTCTCCTACAAAATATTGTTTGTTATAAACGAAAACTGTTGGCTATAAAGGGTCAAATTTGTATGGATTTAAACAGGGAAATGGGCAATGGGTCCCTATAATGCAACATTTGCTACATACAAGTTTGTTATAAGTGAAGTCGACTGTATACCAATGGCATGTGGTGGAACGTAACTCGTAGCCATTACAGGGTTCTAACCATGAAAAATTGCGGGGGGGGGGGGGGGGGGGGAGGAGGGGAACAAACAGTTCACCCACTTTTCCATGTTCCACTATTGCCTTGTCACAAAAAAGCAACGTACGTGCGCACAGAGCGCCCGGAACGATCGATTTATGGCCACAATTTCGCTGTGTGAACTGAAAAAGTAAAAACACAAAAATCGAAAAATGAATTGGGCGGTGCGCTATCAGGGTACTACATGTAGGTGGGCGCCATTAGAGTAGGGGGGGGGGGGGGCATTAGAGTAGGGGAGGGGGGCATTAGAGTAGGGGAGGGGGGGCATTAGAGTCGGGGAGGGGGGCACTGCCGCCCCCCTCCTCCCCCCCCCCCCCCATATCCTTTTGGCTAGAACCCTGCTATGGAGTTAGTATAACACTGGAAATTGGCTTGGTTTGTGAGATGAATGGAGACAACAATTCCTTACCAACAAATCACCGTGGACAACAGTTGGTTAGCAACATAACTACATGAGTGTATAGAGAACATTCAGAGCTGTGCTTACCGACACAAGTTGGATTATCACCAGACCATGCACTTGTGTTCTGACAGACACGACGTCGCTGTCCAGCTAGCTGATAGCCTATCATACAGGTGTGTGTCGCCACCGACTGATAGTTGTTACCATCACTCAGACGTATGCGTCCATTGTCCAATGGCTGCAACTGTGGACAGGTGATCTCTATGCAAACAACGGCAACAACAGTGGGCACTCCTCTACATGTGCATGCCTAGTGGGCACTCCTCTACATGTGCATGCCTAGTGGGGGCACTCCTCTACATGTGCATGCCTAGTGGGCACTCCTCTACATGTGCATGCCTAGTGGGCACTCCTCTACATGTGCATGCCTAGTGGGCACTCCTCTACATGTGCATGCCTAGCGGGCACTCCTCTACATGTGCATGCCTAGCGGGCACTCCTCTACATGTGCATGCCTAGTGGGTATTCCTAGGTACATGTACCTGTGTATGGGAACTGGTATTGTCCTTAGACATACAGCAGCAGGGGTACATGTGTGGGAACTGGTATTGTCCTTAGACATACAGCAGCAGGGGTACATGTGTGGGAACTGGTATTGTCCTTAGACATACAGCAGCAGGGGTACATGTGTGGGAACTGGTATTGTCCTTAGACATACAGCAGCAGGGGTACATGTGTGGGAACTGGTATTGTCCTTAGACATACAGCAGCAGGGGTACATGTGTGGGAACTGGTATTGTCCTTAGACATACAGCAGCAGGGGTACATGTGTGGGAACTGGTATTGTCCTTAGACATACAGCAGCAGGGGTACATGTGTGGGAACTGGTATTGTCCTTAGACATACAGCAGCAGGGGTACATGTGTGGGAACTGGTATTGTCCTTAGACATACAGCAGCAGGGGTACATGTGTGGGAACTGGTATTGTCCTTAGACATACAGCAGCAGGGGTACATGTGTGGGAACTGGTATTGTCCTTAGACATACAGCAGCAGGGGCGGCACACATGGTGCGACCAGTATGACCATGGTCGTAGCACTTTTCGTCCACGAGAAGGATGATCCGCCCAGAGCACCTGTAGAGCGTTAAAATGTGCCCATTGGGCGAAAAATCCGATTTTGTTTCCCCGGGGGACACACCCGACCCCCCCCCCCCCCCGACCCCGCTGGCACCACTCCCCACTGCCCTGTAACACCCTGAGCAGACAGTGCTGCAACACATTGCTTGAAGAAGTGTGCTTGGCACTATTGCTGATCAGGAATAGACAACTAGAGTAAGCATGGACAAAGGCCTCCCTGAATGATGAATGCAGACTGCGGATGTGATAACCCAGTAACCATGCTGCTGATAAATCCCATCCAACGTCACCACCACCAGCAGCAGCAGCAGCGGCAGCGGCCCATACCTTCACAATCGGTACTTACTTATGCAATCACGGCCATCACCATAATAACCAGGGAGACATACACACATGTAGGATCCATTGGTATTAATACAGTTAGCATTGATATGACATCCATGATTGCCAAGTGCACATTCATCCACATCTGAATAGAACAACACAGCGGGCACGGTAACTTGATGGGCAGCCGCATAAAGATAGACAAACTGATGATACTTAGAAGCAGGACACACTTCAGGCTCTTGAACATTTTGAAAGTTTTCACTAGTATACTTCCATGCCTTATCATCAGGTGAAATGCAGGCAAAATCAAAATGAACTTTCAAAATGTTCAGGAGCCTGAAGTGTGTCCTACTTCTATTAAAGTATCTGATTGCATTCTTGTCTCCAAGGGAAATAGACTTATCAGGAACATAATCCATCTCGAGTCGTGCGCCAGTTTGTAATTCGGCTATTTACAATTCTGAAGACTGACAGACATCAAAAGCATATAGTACACAAGATTAAGGATGAGTATGTGTTCAGACGCAGCAATCATGGTCGAGTATCACCTGCAAATGAAGTCATTCTGATCTTAAGTACTGCAATCATCACCACACTGCGGCCTGAGATTCTGGTCGAATAGAACAAAAGAAACAGCATTTACCGTTGCAGCGTGGCTCTTTGTCTGTCCACTGTCCCTGCATAGCACACACGCGTATGTCAACACCATCCAGGGAGTAGCCTTGCATGCATGTGTAGAATGCACGGGACATGAAGTAGCGGTCCGGTGGCACAACCTGGACACCACCATTGGCTGGGTCAGCCAGCTCAGGACATTGAATTCCTGCAAGCGGTTACAAAACACAACAGATTACCTGCAAAGTGTAGCGCCACAAAGTAACTATTGTATACGTACCAACAAAGACACATGATTATTAATCTGCTGAGGGTGCATATGTGAAAATGATCAGCATATGCCTGGTGAATATCATCATCATCATCATGGAACAGCCTCTTCAACGGTACGGGCAAGCAAAAACGCAATACATCAAAATTCAATTAGCATCATATTATCATCATAATGCCCGCTTGCAAACAGATATATGGAGTGCAAGGTACCATTAAAGACATATGGAGTGCAAGGTGCCATTAAAGACATATGGAGTGCAAGGTGCCATTAAAGACATATGGAGTGCAAGGTGCCATTAAAGACATATGGAGTGCAAGGTGCCATTAAAGACATATGGAGTGCAAGGTACCATTAAAGACATATCGAGTGCAAGGTACCATTAAAGACATATGGAGTGCAAGGTGCCATTAAAGACATATGGAGTGCAAGGTGCCATTAAAGACATATGGAGTGCAAGGTACCATTAAAGACATATGGAGTGCAAGGTGTCATTAAAGACATATGGAGTGCAAGGTACCATTAAAGACATATGGAGTGCAAGGTGCCATTAAAGGACATCTACATCATGTGAATCAATGATGAGAAGTTAAGCATGTAGGTAATCGACTAGACCGTTCAGTGGACACTCACGAGTACATACGACGCCGTTGCCAGTATAACCGTCTCTGCATATGCATTCATAACTGCCCTCCGTATTCACACAGTCTGCTGATGGCGAGCAGTCATGTAGACCTTCACTGCACTCATCCACATCTGTAGTGCAGCAATATAATTATGTGTAATATTGCATAATTGCACATTAGCAACAAATCGACCTTAACATTAATTCATGTTTGAGTACAAATACGTGCATGTCATGTGCGAAACAAAACCCATTATGACGACCAGCTGTTGTGCTAGTTACTGTTCTCAGCTATGAGCCAATAAACATCTGTATACGGTTCTCCATCACACACTCGGATAGGAAACATGAAAACTTGGAAAAGCACAACTACCCTTCACTGTCTTCTTACTGCCATATTACTCAGCTGACCTGATAATAGGACGGGTATTGATCATAGCTGCTAGCCTGTCCCGTGGACAGCACTGTTCTTGATAAGATTGGAGGCCGGAGAATCTAGTTTTTTTTATTCACCAGGCTGTGCAACAGTGTGAATGGAGAATGGCTTACCATCGCATGACGGTGGCTCGTCGCTCCATGACCCCTCGATCAGGCACACCAGCACATCGAGTCCATTTAGACGAAAGCCCGGGAAGCATTCAAAAGTTGCCTGGTCTCTGTAGGAACGACCGCTGACCTGCACATTGCCGTTCTCCGGCTTGTCCAGCATGGGACACATGATCTGCGTGCAGTAAGTGCCATTGCCGGAATATCCCAGCCTGCAGATACATTGATAGGATCCGATTGTGTCCACACATTCTGCATTGATGTGACACTCATGGGTGCCACTTTCACATTCATCTACGTCTGCAAAAACACGTTGAAGCACAAACACATAATAGAACAGTATGCACACATGAACATCAGCATGCACTGCAGCCATGCTGGTCCGTGGTGGTGGTGGCGGCGGTGGTAGGGGTGGTGGTGGTGGCGGCGGGTGTTGCGTATCGGTTTTAAGATTAGGAAAGATTTTTCATGGCTTCTTTTTGTTGTTGTTCTTTTGCCTCAGTTTGTATCATTTTGCGTTTTCCTTGTCGACTTTGTTGTATTGTTTTTGGCTGCACTTGCAGTGTTCTGGGCAACATGCGCCGCGCTGATCATGGACGATTACGTCATCATGGACGATGACGTCATTGTCACGTGTGTCACAATGATTATGTATTGTGCGGATGCTCAAATGCTACCAGTCCACCATGCTCATATGCTACCAGTCCACCATGCTCATATGCTACCAGTCCACCATGCTCAAATGCTACCAGTCCACCATGCTCAAATGCTACCAGTCCACCATGCTCATATGCTACCAGTCCACCATGCTCATATGCTACCAGTCCACCATGCTCATATGCTACCAGTCCACCATGCTCAAATGCTACCAGTCCACCATGCTCAAATGCTACCAGTCCACCATGCTCATATGCTACCAGTCCACCATGCTCATATGCTACCAGTCCACCATGCTCAAATGCTACCAGTCCACCATGCTCAAATGCTACCAGTCCACCATGCTCATATGCTACCAGTCCACCATGCTCATATGCTACCAGTCCACCATGCTCATATGCTGCCAGTCCACCATGCTCAAATGCTACCAGTCCACCATGCTCATATGCTGCCAGTCCACCATGCTCAAATGCTACCAGTCCACCATGCTCATATGCTGCCAGTCCACCATGCTCAAATGCTACCAGTCCACCATGCTCATATGCTGCCAGTCCACCATGCTCATATGCTGCCAGTCCACCATGCTCATATGCTACCAGTCCACCATGCTCATATGCTGCCAGTCCACCATGCTCATATGCTACCAGTCCACCATGCTCATATGCTGCCAGTCCACCATGCTCATATGCTACCAGTCCACCATGCTCATATGCTGCCAGTCCACCATGCTCATATGCTACCAGTCCACCATGCTCATATGCTGCCAGTCCACCATGCTCATATGCTACCAGCTCATATGCTGCCAGTCCACCATGCTCATATGCTACCAGTCCACCATGCTCATATGCTACCAGTCCACCATGCTCATATGCTGCCAGTCCACCATGCTCATATGCTGCCAGTCCACCATGCTCATATGCTACCAGTCCACCATGCTCATATGCTACCAGTCCACCATGCTCATATGCTGCCAGTCCACCATGCTCATATGCTGCCAGTCCACCATGCTCATATGCTACCAGTCCACCATGCTCATATGCTGCCAGTCCACCATGCTCATATGCTGCCAGTCCACCATGCTCATATGCTGCCAGTCCACCATGCTCATATGCTACCAGTCCACCATGCTCATATGCTACCAGTCCACCATGCTCATATGCTACCAGTCCACCATGCTCATATGCTACCAGTCCACCATGCTCATATGCTACCAGTCCACCATGCTCATATGCTACCAGTCCACCATGCTCATATGCTACCAGTCCACCATGCTCATATGCTACCAGTCCACCATGCTCATATGCTACCAGTCCACCATGCTCATATGCTACCAGTCCACCATGCTCATATGCTACCAGTCCACCATGCTCATATGCTACCAGTCCACCATGCTCATATGCTACCAGTCCACCATGCTCATATGCTACCAGTCCACCATGCTCATATGCTACCAGTCCACCATGCTCATATGCTACCAGTCCACCATGCTCATATGCTACCAGTCCACCATGCTCATATGCTACCAGTCCACCATGCTCATATGCTACCAGTCCACCATGCTCATATGCTACCAGTCCACCATGCTCATATGCTACCAGTCCACCATGCTCATATGCTACCAGTCCACCATGCTCATATGCTACCAGTCCACCATGCTCATATGCTACCAGTCCACCATGCTCATATGCTACCAGTCCACCATGCTCATATGCTACCAGTCCACCATGCTCATATGCTGCCAGTCCACCATGCTCATATGCTGCCAGTCCACCATGCTCATATGCTGCCAGTCCACCATGCTCATATGCTGCCAGTCCACCATGCTCATATGCTACCAGTCCACCATGCTCATATGCTACCAGTCCACCATGCTCATATGCTACCAGTCCACCATGCTCATATGCTACCAGTCCACCATGCTCATATGCTACCAGTCCACCATGCTCATATGCTACCAGTCCACCATGCTCATATGCTACCAGTCCACCATGCTCATATGCTACCAGTCCACCATGCTCATATGCTACCAGTCCACCATGCTCATATGCTACCAGTCCACCATGCTCATATGCTACCAGTCCACCATGCTCATATGCTACCAGTCCACCATGCTCATATGCTACCAGTCCACCATGCTCATATGCTACCAGTCCACCATGCTCATATGCTACCAGTCCACCATGCTCATATGCTACCAGTCCACCATGCTCATATGCTACCAGTCCACCATGCTCATATGCTACCAGTCCACCATGCTCATATGCTACCAGTCCACCATGCTCATATGCTACCAGTCCACCATGCTCATATGCTACCAGTCCACCATGCTCATATGCTACCAGTCCACCATGCTCATATGCTTGCCTTTTTTTCTTTAGTTCTCAGTTTTGCCTCGTCGTGTCCGGTCTTCTTGTTTGTCCGTCTCAGTCTTGTCAATTAATTATGTTGGACTTTTAGTTCAATTACGGTGTTGTGTGTGGCGAGTCGGATGGACGGGGAGGCTGGGCCCCTGACGCCTGGAGCACATGTGCGGGTGCACAAAAGCGGGGGTGGTGGTGGTGGCGGGGGTGGTGGTGGTAGTGGTAACATTGATGACTACAGAAAATAGATTATCAGGTGCAAAACAGGTATAGGTGCTGTGTACCTGGCAAATGTTCTGATATTGATGGTGGGTGAGCATATTGATGGACATGCTTGCAGTTTATCAGCACTCAGTGCTTCACTGTAGTCTTACCATTGCATTTGGGCTCCACTCCCGTCCAGCTGCCATGACTGAAGCACACACGTATTGTCAAGTCTCTAGTATCAAAGCCCACATCACATGTGTAGTCTGCTATAGAGTTGATGTTCAGACCATCACTGAGGGCTACCTGGCCATTGGGTGGAGCACGCAACTCCGGGCATTCAATTGCTGAGCAGAAACAACGTCATGCAACCAGGTAAGGCAAAGTTCTCAGTGACTGTAAAAGAAGGATCAGTATATGAAACACGTTCTGACCTCAAGGCATTATGGCAATATATGTACATTGGTGGATAACCGGCTATTAACCGCACATAACAAGCACACATGGGTCCTTTCATTTTCAATTTAAAATGCTCGGCTCCGCATCTGAGTCAGTATTATGTAGAGATTGTGTATCTTATCTAGTAGCAGCACACAAGTAGCCTAGGTTTTGGCAGAAATCTTGGCTTGGCTTGTGTGTGTGTGGGGGGGGGGGGGGGGCACCCATGTGCCGGGATGCCAGGCCTGTGTCCCGGTGTGCACCGTCCATGGGCTGCTCCTCAAAGACAACCTCACTACTATAGTCCATATATAGTGACCTATGCATGTAGGTGCAGCACAACTACGCTAATACACGTATGAAGCATTCATGCCTCACCACACCCATCAAAAACAGGTCCTTCAAGTATCGATTAGCACGCACTTGAAGTATCGATTAGCACTTCAAGTATCGATTAGCACTTCAAGTATCGATTAGCACGCACTTCAAGTATCGATTAGCACGCACTTCAAGTATCGATTAGCACGCACTTCAAGTATCAATTAGCACGCACTTGGTACTGTGACATCAAAGGTGTATTGACAAGCTTGTAATGATTGGAGACTCAGGCAGTCAGGGGCATCGGACACGGTACGGTCACTACAGTATTCACCGTACCACCATATGCCCTGGGCATGCTAGATCTACCCTATGCCCTGGGCATGCTAGATCTACCCTATGCCCTGGGCATGCTAGATCTACCCTATGAATCAATAAAAGGCACTGATGTGGGCTTAAAATTTCGAAAACTTTTCATAGGGTCAAATTCAGAAAATTGTTTTCTACCTTTCTGTAAAAACTCGGCACGCACAAGAAGTCGGTCAGTCGAGGAGAGAGAGAGAGAGAGAGAGAGAGAGAGAGAGAGAGAGAAGAGAGAGAGAGAAGAGAGAGAGAGAGGAGAGAGAGAGAGAGAGAGAGAGAGAGAGAGAGAGAGAGAGAGAGAGAGAGAGAGAGAGAGAGAGAGAGAGAGAGAGAGAGAGAGAGAGAGAGAGAGAGAGAGAGAGAGAGAGAGAGAGAGAGAGAGAGAGAGAGAGAGAGAGAGAGAGAGAGAGAGAGAGAGAGAGAGAGAGAGAGAGAGAGAGAGAGAGAGAGAGAGAGAGAGAGGAGAGAGAGGGAGAGAGAGAGAGAGAGAGAGAGAGAGAGAGAGAGAGGGAGGAGAGAGAGAGAGAGAGAGAGAGAGAGAGAGAGAGAGAGAGAGAGAGAAAGTCGAAAGCACAAGGCTATGAAGGGCCCATAAACCAGAAAACAAGTGAGTACGTACTAACTTTGATCCGAGTACCTTTCCCTGCATTTATCTTGGGCACTGCACACGCTTTAGGATGGACATTTTTTCGGTTATGTTTGGCAGCAAATGCTCACACATTGCCTTGGGTAGTGAACATCCACATGGAACACTTCAAGAAAATGTGGAAACATGGATAACTCAACACTTACGTTCACAAGTTCGACCATCACCAGTAGTTCCAGTTGGACATTCACAAATATATGACCCTGGTATGTTTATACAGGCTCCAATCACCTCCGTGCTGCACTCCACCGCCTCCGACTCACACTCATTCGTGTCTAATATGAACAGCAACACAGTACACCCAAGCTAAGCGGCATTACACGTACAACATCATGTACGTATAGTCATACGTGCACTATGCCGGGTATACAGCTTCATGGCACGTAGACTGGATAGTGGTATGAGTGTTTGCATTGCAGGTATCATGTTGGCACTGCAGCATTTTAAGCCACACCGCAACTGGCACCGACACACACAGCCACAATGACATTGACAGAGACACAGTACAAAGTCACATGATGCCGTCACATGATGCCGTAGCATGGTATGAACACTACTATGAGTCAGACTGTGCATGATTTACCAGCACCAAAGAAACAGGGATCAATGAGGCCTGGGAGGAACACTCCCCATTGCTAGTATGTGTTGAACGGACACTTGGAAAGGCTAAACGGAAACAAGGGTATGATTGAGTTACCACACGGCTGAATAGAATGTTTTGAAACTCTAATGCAACACCGTATGTAGCAGAGTGAGGGTGACGAAAACACACCTGGCAAATTGACGGTAAGTACATGTACAGTTGTACACGCATCGTCATTGCCATCACCCATGCACACCTGTCCACACATCGTCATTGCCATCACCCATGCACACCTGTCCACACATCGTCATTGCCATCACCCATGCACACCTGTCCACACATCGTCATTGCCATCACCCATGCACACCTGTCCACACATTGTCATTGCCATCACCCATGCACACCTGTCCACGCATCGTCATTGCCGTCACCCATGCACACCTGTCCATGCATCGTCATTGCCATCACCCATGCACCAGATGCTCAAGTATCAGCCAGAAACATGATGCTGATATTACCAGCCATCCATGCTTCAACTAAGTGCCAGGCGCTAACTGATGGTGGTGGTGGTGGTGGTGAGGGAAGTTGTGCTATTTGCCCGAAGTTTGCAGCTTAGAGAACGTTATGTGGGCAGGCGTGTATTTACCACAATTTTACCAGATGTATAGAAAAGAAAAAGGACCAAGGAACTACAAGTTACGCTATAATATCCACTAACACCACCAGGATACAAAAAGGCTAATGCGATAACACTGCTGGCTTTTAGAGTGCGCATCCAAGATGTGCTAGAGCTGTTAGGCAGTTAGTTGCAGAACGTCAGTACCGTCGGTCAGTGTAGTGCAATGTTATCGCATGAGCTGATTGTGTAGTAACTGGTGGTGTTAGTGGACATTATAGCGTAACTTGTAGTTCCTTGGTCTTTTTCCTTTTCTATAAATTTATCCTTGGCTCTCCATTCGAGTCCATTTTACCAGATGTGTTTAAATCTGAACAAAAACTTGACTGTCACCACCAAGACTCGAACTTGGCCCTTTGCTATAGCCCAGCAATATTCTAAAGCCACTGAAAAGCATATGAAGGTATTGTGAACAAAAAGTAAAGAAGGTCGGCATGAATCTATCATCACATGATGCAGGCGTGGCTATTTCTCTATGTTTGCACCATTGCTAGCATATCGTAACAAGTGCAATGCAGCAGCTTTTGCACACAACTATGCTATCTTACGGCCCTCTCACTACCCTGGAGGACACTAACAAGCCATAGGGCTCTCCATGCCATGCCGCTTAACCTATAACTAGCACACCTAGCTAATGTGTTAGATTTCAAGTCAGACACGCTAGATTTTTGCTGCACACGGCTGCTATTGAGCAACTTGACAGCGGTGGTGGTGGTGGCAACGTACCAACACAGACACCATTGATTAGTTCATATCCAGGGTCACATTGGCAAATGTAACTCCCTGGAATGTTGACACATTCCGAATTGCGCTGTGGACAGTCGTGCAGCCCGTTTGAACATTCGTTAGTGTCTGTTTGCAGAAGAAGACGGGAACAAAAGTTACACAACACTCCATGAAAAGAACTCTTCCTCTCCTCTCCTCCATGCGCTCTCACAGCCGACTCACTGCTACCCTCGGTAGCCATTACACACACCAACCAAGAAAGGGTTGCAGGTAGATACTGAAATTCCTCCTGACAGCTGTTTCGCAAAACAGCTGTCAGGAGGAATTTCAGTATCTACCTGCAACCCTTTCTTGGTTGGTGTGTGTAATGGCTACCGAGGGTAGCAGTGAGTCGGCTGTGAGAGCGCATGGAGGAGAGGAGAGGAAGAGTTCTTTACATTTTATTGGCCGAATAGTACCGTTCACCATTTGAAATAACACTCCATGAAGTCTGCTAATTATGACTGTGTGTGCCTAACCATCATTATCTATTTCAAGTGAAGAAAACCCAGGTCAGGGTGGTGCATTGCAAGAGTGATGCTATCCATGAATGACAGTAATAGATTTGAGCTCACTGTAAGACATGTTTACAAATATTACAGTTAGGCCTCATAGTACAAATATTACAGTTAGGCCTCATAGTACAAATATTACGGTTAGGCCTCATGGTACAAATATTACGGTTAGGCCTCATAGTATGTGTCCTGTGCGGATATGCCTGAAGACTGCAAGATTATTTTAAAAGGGGAGTGTACCTTAAACTAAAGTCAAATTTTCACCAGATATAGTCTTCGGGGTACTGAGTCGAATGGTCTTAGTCCGAGGAAGCTGAGACGTTCCCTTCCTCCTTTATTCCCAATCGAACTCACCACTTCCACCGAAACTGGGTGACTGCGCCCTACTAGATGGGGATTTGTATTCATAATGTCACTGAAAGCGCCATTTCGTTCTTATAAAAGCACGGATGACCGCGATTGGCCCATGTGTTGCAGTCTTTTGGACTCTGGCCTTAGAGAAGTGCAGTATGAGGTGGGTAAGACCCTCGCAGGTGTGAACCTTTCTGTACTAGTAGTAGTGGGCCAGCGGCTGGGAGAGCCCAATCCAGTTACTGTTATGTTCTCATGCACACCACTACTACTAGACAACAGGAACTAGTTTGGTGACAAGATAATAGAAACTAATTATTTACATTCTCAAGTGAGGAAGAAGAGCAAGGAGAAGAACACATGAATCCAGAATATGGATGCGTGCATGCGTCCAATAGAGACATGACGTAATCACGTGAAGCAAGGCGTATAACGTAACAATACGCGTTATGCGGGTGATAACAACTTGAAGTACATGCGCAATACATGAGTAGCTAGCATGATACATCAGTTACTACCGGCAGATGTGTCACTCTGCTGTGGAGGAAAACCACCTAAACGTGTTGGATCCATACAAAAACTGGACCCAAGCGGATTCAAAGTCAGCATTGTCATGGCTCCGGGCTGGCTGTGACCTAGCACTCTCAAGCCCTATGGAATTCAATGTTGTCCTTTGAGTAGCGATGTCAGGGTAAATTTCTGTTTTGAGAATCGGGCAAATATTGTAATACCATCCGATTCCTGAAGACAAGTAGAGTATACTGGCAAAGTTTGAAGCAAATCGGAACAAATATAGTGGACTTATTCCAGTTTAGAGTGCGCGGGGTAAGCGCCGCCATTGTCGAAAAGCACCATGCCGCACTGTACACAAGCCAGATCTCACCACGGCACAAAATCGGTCTTGACAACAGGGATCGCGGCTCATGAATAATCTTGCGCACTGTACAAAATGTACATACCGTAGCTGTACTGTTTTTTTTTTTGTTGCTGCAAACTGTTGGAGAAATTCAAGAAGACTGTTGAAGAGTGGCCGAAGTATGAGTTGTGATTTGGCCATTCTCCGAGACAAGAAGAGTTCGACAAGTAGATTATGATCCTGGTGCGCGTGGTGGTCCGCTTTGAACTTCATCAGTTCTAACACCAATGCATTTGAAACGTTTCCGATCATGCTAGGCAGGGGCTTATCCTGCAATAGCTGCTCCTCCTTGAGTCCAAGACTCGACAAAACATCTTCACAGCCGGTCCCTTTGCTGGACGAACACTCATGATGGCGTTGTATCCAGCAATGGAGTACCTGTCGCTAAAAATACTACAAGTCTGGTGCGCGGCGTGATACACCGATGAAACTCGGCAGCAAACTAAATTGGACGACGGGGAACACGATGGAACTAAAATCAAACCTGTATCAGGCAGCGCAAGAGATGAAAAAGGCGACTGAACATACGCTAACTTGTCGGCGGCCATACTCCCAGCTCCGTAGGCGCAGCGCGCCCGCACAAACGCGTATACGAAAGTTCATCTTCTATTTTCGTGGCAATAGTCACGACCAAGCTTGTCACTGACGTCTTCAGGTCACATTTGAATATCCCGCGTGCCAAGTACTGCACGCTCTGGCCGCGACTGGCATTCTGCCGTACTGGCTTTTTGTGCCATCATTTCAGCTGGTTGCTAGGGAATCCAGCGACAAGCGTGGAGGTCACGTGGCACGGCACTCTGACATCGCTACTTTGAGGGACAACGATCCCATGGGGCATCCAGGCAGTGACCAGGCTCTTTCATGCATTTTTCAATTTTCCCGCAGCACTCCACTGTAGAAGACGTACGAGAAAATTGGTTTTCACTTTTCACAGTTTTCAAAACTACACACGTACCCAACAGGTATCCCCATGTGTTACCCTGGTGACATGAACAGCCTAGCCGGCTGACATGATGAGAACACTCAGCATACAACAACAATACACAGTCATCTTCACTTGCCTTGGTCACAGTTATCTGCTGTCCATCCAGGTTGACATATGCATGTGTAGGCGCCACCAATGCGGCGTTCCATACAGATGCCACTGTGTTGACAGGGATTGGTCAAACATGGAGATGGTGTCGGTGGTTGCTGTGGTGGAATTGTATCAGGATCTGTATGCATAGGACAAAACCAGGGCTAAATGGAACGTTCTGGGAGCTCAGTGATCACTGAGTACATGATACTGGACCTGGTAGATCTGGCCACTGCCGCCGGGCTAAATAAACCATCCACAGAATGGCCAATTGCTGTGATCGTGTTGACTCACAATTACATATCGTGTTTCATACACTGGAAGAGCCACTAACACATTGACTATACTGCGAATCATCATAACAGATCCCTCACCATTTCCTGCATCACCACCTGGCACTCCTGGATTGCCCGCATCACCACCTGGAAATCCTGGATTGCCCGCATCGCCACCTGGAAATACTGGATTGCCCGCATCACCACCTGGCAATACTGGATTGCCCGCATCACCACCTGGCAATCCTGGGTTGCCCGCATCGCCACCTGGTAATCCTGGGTTGCCCGCATCGCCACCTGGCAATCCTGGATTGCCCGCATCGCCACCCGGAAATACTGGATTGCCCGCATCGCCACCTGGTAATCCTGGGTTGCCCGCATCGCCACCTGGCAATCCTGGATTGCCCGCATCGCCACCTGGAAATACTGGATTGCCCGCATCACCACCTGGCAATACTGGATTGCCCGCATCACCACCTGGCAATACTGGATTGCCCGCATCACCACCTGGTAATCCTGGGTTTCCTGCATCATCAGGAACAATAGGAGATGGTCTTGGGCCAGCAAAGTCAGGGCCGGGTGGACCAGGCGGTTGTGTCGTGCCTTGGTCTTCGGGTGGGACTGCTCCAGGAGTGTTTGGATTGGCAACAGGATCTGTGCCTGGTAGTGCTGTAGTGTCGGCTGGTTCAGCAGTCACTGGACCGGCATCAGTGGGCGGTACATCAGTTGGGTCAGGTGCAACTGCAGGTTACCAAGAACAAAATCCTGATTTTGAACAAGCACACCCAATAAGATGAGCCAGGACACGCGCTGACGCATAGCCCTGTCAGAACAAGCGCCCATCTTATCACGAGCTCATTGGCAAGCTGCACTTCCCTCCCCAACACACATGCAGCGTCACCATCCTCACACTGACAGCATCACCATCCTCACACTAACTGGCACGTATGCCAAGACGAAATTTCATGTGTTATCGATGGTAGCTGCTAGATGGAGTGAATACTGATCTGGCTTGTACAACATCGACCTCGGAACGGACCAATGTGTCTTAGATGGTATTGCGTCGGTGTCCTCTTCACCTGATGGTGGTGACGCGTTACCCATTCTTTTCTGCGGTTGGAGGTAGAGCACACGGTACGATCCCTCAAGTCCGGTAAATCAACCAGCCTTGATAACATTCCAGCAGAATTGTTGAAGTTTGGCGGCGATGTTTTTTTTCTTCTTTTTCTGTTTTCTTTTTTTTTACAAGATACACAACTCACCAGCAAGCACATGGGGCTAGCATAGGGTGAGATGGTGCTGGTGGGGCCTGTCATACCCAGCCGACCAGAGGTCTCGGCATCTTCGAATGGCAGGTGCACCAAATTGGGAGGAAAGCATAAGCATGATGGAAACAGCACGGGAGACTGAATTGGAAGATTTAGAACGAAGGAGGACCTAATTTGGAATCTAATTTGGAACACAGCAGAAAATAGCAAATCATCAAACATATAATAGGAGTGAAAGGAGAGTGTCAAATGAAGAGTGCAATAGGGATAGCAGTGGAATAGGGATAGCAGTGGAATTTGGCTATTCAGGATTGGCAATAATTTGGCTTGGGGTGGGAGAAGCAGAGGCGAAATCCCAGAAGAGGCTAGAGGCGGTCGGTTGCCCAGTCAGACTGCCGCAGGTGACCATAGACCTTCTTCTTGAAGGTCTGCATCGACTTCTGGGAGGGGCGAGCACTGAGAATAGAGGCTGGGAGGCAATTCCAGGTCTTGATCATGTGGTGGGGGAAGGACCGAAGGACATCGTTCCGAGACTGAGGTGGGACAGTATTGGTCAGCTGGAACGGGTGGTGGCTCGTAATCGTGCGCACGCTGGCTCGGGTGCCACCTGGCCACCTATGACAACTTTGATCTTGCGACTAGTGAGATAACGAGTCTGCAGCCAACAGAGCAGCAGGGACCCTTTGAGTTTGGTACCGTATTGCTCTGCTTTGTGAAGAACTCATGGGTGTGAGGCCGGCTTGTCGAAGGCACCAGCGATGTCCACTGCGAGCACCCTGACAAGGCCTCCCTGGGCAGCTGTCTGGTGCCACTCATGCTGGAATGCGATCAGAAGATTTGATGTGCCAAGTCTGGCGCGGAAGCCGAATTGTCGCGAGGACAGGCAATTCTTCTCCAGGAAGTTGGACATACCACGGTTGATTCAGTATTGACTCCATGCATTTGGACATGACAGACAACAGGGAACTTGGTCGGTAATTCTTAGGATTGGACTTTGACCCTTTTCTGTGTACAGGGACAACATTTGCAAGTTTCCAGGTTTCAGTTTGATAGCCATTACGGAAGCACAGGGCATATAGCCGGTAAAGTGGGAGAGCCAATGGTTCGGCGCAGATCTTCAGGACCCTGGCAGGTATTGAGTCAGGTCCAGTGGCCTTGCGGGGGTTGAGAGCAAGTAGTGTGTGGTGGACTGTGGCTGGGCGGAAGTGGATAGTAGTGAGTGAGTTCTGAGAACGTGGGCGAACAGGGGGCATTGCGCAGGAGGTGTCAAAGTCATTCTCAGGGCTGCATTTATCGGCGAAGTACTGGCATATGAGTTCAGCCTTCTCGGTATTCCTAGTGTGCTCGTTGCCTTGGTTGTCGACGAGAACTGGGATAGAGCTGTCTCTACCAAGCCCTCCGGAGCGCTTGATCAGACTCAACCACTCTTTATCCTGGAGCGGGCTGCCTCGCTGTGCTGCCATTGTCAGTGCTGTCATTGATCTGATGCATCGGATTTGAAACAAGGTCTGGTCTAAGGGCCATTGGCCTGCATCATGGACCAAGTCCATCCAAAGTTCAGGATTTGAATCGAGTTTGGGAATGCTGCTCACTGCCTCTCAAGAGCAGGATTCGACTATAGTACTATAGTATTGGCTACTGTCCTGTACGGATGCCAGGCCCGGATAGTGACACAAGGTTTCCTATAGCGCATCCAGGCATTTGAGATGAGGTACTTTCGCAATCTGCTTGGTGTGAGGTTTTACCATCACCGAACAAATGGGTCGATACTGTAGGAAGTTGAAGACGTCATTGGCCCATTCACTCTCCTCGCCACCATCATCAAACAGACCAAGCTAAAGTGGTTTGGGCATGTGACTCAACACCCTGGCTGTTTTTCAATTACATTCATGAACCGAATGATACCAGAATCAAGGCCACGTGGCCGTCTCCGTCATAACTGGTTTACGGATTTTTAAAGGAAAGATCCAATGCGTCATGCGGTTCTCTCTTTCTCTCACTCTCTCTCTCTCTCACACACTCTCTCTCTCTCACTCTCTCTCTCTCTCTCTCTCTCTCTCTCTCTTTCTCTTGCTGCTGCTGCTGAGTGCGTCGAATATAGACAGCTTGTTTATGAGTGTACGTAGCTTCTTCTATTGCCCATGACAATTCAATGCCCCTACGACCAATAATATTATGGTTCTTGGTGATACATACATTCATACATTCATATTATATACATACATCGATGGACGTTCGAGAATGGAGACTACCGTATTTTCCGGAGTATAAGCTGTACTTAAAACACTCAAAATCCACCCAAAGAAGTCGTTTCGGCTTATACTAAGATGGTCAAACAAACCGTGAAATACAGAGTAGATGTCTGTATTTTGTGACAAAAACATCTGGGCGCGGCATATACTCCAGTACGGCATTTATGCCAGAAATACGGTAGAGCATCCGAGGCTCTGAATGGTTTCAAACGTTCAATCCCAGTTTGCTATCACCTCTGCAATGCACTCTCAATTTTGAAAATCACCGTATCATGTAAACTTGTAAACACAAGCCAGCTCCACCTTTTTCATCCAGCCAGACTATTCCAGTACCTCCCCCCCCCCCCCCCCCCCCTACACACACACACACCTACACACATACACACACACACACACACATACACCTAGGACTTCATATACTGGTACAGTACCATACCGGCATGAGTTAATCCGAAATCATAATGGATACATTGTCTTGAATTCAAATACACTCACTTGCTGTAGTTACGTCTATAACGCTGGGTTGCTCTGTTCCACGGACGTCATCTAGGCGGCATAACAAACGTGCAAGCAAGCATCATGACCACTCTCAAAGTATACACCACAGCCAGTTGTGTACTACATGTACAGGAATAGCATGCAGTGTGTACGTATGTCCTTTCCAGTCCCTGTACTGCTGAAACTCTAATGCACTCCATTACTGTACTGTCTCGGATAGTTGCCGTGGTTGGCTATCAACCTTCATTTCATTTTCATTTGTCATTGGCAGTCGCTGACGAGCCAGGAAATGTTGAACAACTACAATACCATTACGGGTAAGGAACAGGACTATAGTGGACATAACGAGAGGGGAAATGTTCAACCTGCTGCGTACGTTTAGGGTCTACAAGAACTAACAGTCTATTGTGCTGCACTGTGTCATTCAAATATCAAGCACCTACACACACACACACACACACACACACACACACACACACACACACACACACACACACACACACACACACACACAATGAGCCGCACTGAACAAACGTCCGCACTGTGAATAGCAGATGAACGCCCACCCATGTGAAATTATCATACAATTACTTCAACCCAGCTTCAAAATTTTCTTCCGAGCAAACTCTAATGCTGGCCTGTGCTGCTATAATCCACACGTGCATGTGTATGCAAACAGGCATAGCTTCTTTACACACGTGGGAGTTGTGTGCATGCCAACAGGGGATTCACCTGCATATAACAGTGTTATATGCAGGTGAATCCAGTGGACAGTGTAATGTCTATTTTTTTACGTTGAAGTATGAGATCAACCCACTAACCAACAAGCAAAGAAGCAGAGGCAGTTTCCTGCAAGCCAGTAGACAAGGTCACTTCGCACAGATATGCGCCTTGATCTTCAAAACGTAGCGAGAAGATCAGCAGCGTGTTGTTCGCCATTGCAGGGCCTTGCTGAGCTTCATCGCCTTCACCCATGAATATCACGTGCCTGAAGCGTGGCAGTGCTCTGAACCGCGGTCGACGCCAGCCTACAGACCTCACCTGTGCTGCACTGGGGTTGTTCAGCTCTGACAGGTCAGCAGCACAGTGAAACTCTACCGAGCCTCCAACACGACGATGTGCTCGGGCTGGGCTGACTGTGACGATAACTGGAGAAAAAGAAAACGAGGGCAAGAATATATTTACGTCGGCATAATATTGCTAGACAAGGTCACTGCACAATACCAACAACAGTCTGTGGGTGGCCTGAGTGCAAATCAATTGATGTGTAGGACAAACTGTCAAAGAAACCGGCTGTGTGGTGATGTTTGCCTGCCATGGTACAGTAGAACGCCGATTACCGGAACGTCAGCTATCCAAACCACCAATCATCCTAAATGCCTATTTCCATTGAATGCAAGGGACCAAAATGAGTTTTTGCTCATTTTCCTCACCCGAAGCACCATTCAAGCGGTGCACAAAATGTTTTGCAACAGTTGGCAGTGACAATGTACATGTATCAGCATAGTGTCATTTAGAGGAGCCAGTGTGTCTAGTTAGAGGAGCCAGTGTGTCTAGTTAGAGGAGCCAGTGTGTCTAGTTAGAGGAGCCAGTGTGTCTAGTTAGAGGAGCCAGTGTGTCTAGTTAGAGGAGCCAGTGTGTCTAGTTAGAGGAGCCAGTGTGTCTAGTTAGAGGAGCCAGTGTGTCTAGTTAGAGGAGCCAGTGTGTCTAGTTAGAGGAGCCAGTGTGTCTAGTTAGAGGAGCCAGTGTGCCTAGTTAGAGGAGCCAGTGTGCCTAGTTCCTGTGGTACTGTCGAAGGTAATGAGAAATGATGGAAACATGAGGGAATATACATGTTTCAGACGGATGTGTGACTGCTTCCGTATCTGAACATTCTCCTCATCCGAACCCCCCTGGAGACAGCCATGGATAATCGGCACTCCACTGTATTATGTGTTTTCACGGTGTGCATGGGCGTGTCATGACACTGGCCAACGCAAGGCTACTGGCTTCAGCACTATGAGACCAGCCTCCTCAACTATGCATAAACCGGGCCACGGTTGCAACTACAAGTTCCAAGCACTTGAAGGAAATGAGTGGGAAATGCATATACTACGCACATGCTAACCCGGGCTGGTCCACGCTTACTTCACTACAATATACTGTACTTGAGTATCACCTGTAGGTTGTAACACAGGCAGGCCGCTAATCTTCAGATTCAGGTCATTATCCCTCCTTATCTAGCCGCATTCAGCTTTCAAGTACACTACACTCGGCATCTCAATGAGCCTAGGCTTACGTCTGTCGTTGCCATCCTGACCCAACACAACCAACAGTAGCGCACTGCAAACTATGGCAAGGAGCAACTGCATATGCAACACACACACACACACACACACACACACACACACACACACACACACGTGCACACACAAACACACACACACCAGGCCCGGAGGAAGGAGTTGGGGAGTGGTCCGGCCAACCTTTGAGGGGGTCCGGGGGACCTCCCCCGGGAGAAATATTTAAAATTTACGTGAAATAGAGCGAATTTGGGCATCTCTAAGGCTCCAGAAAATGCAGAAAATTATAGTAAAAGAACACAAACACAACTTTTTATCCATATCAGCCATACAGTGCCGGTCACGGAGTCCTGAGCTACTTCGAAGCACATCACACGTCGGCAGTACAGTCGAGTCATGTACCTCTGGATTTTTTTACACCGGTTTTGCACGAATCACATGGACCATCCAGCTGGGAAAGTGGTCCGGCCATGGCCGGACCAGCCTGACCGGTTCCGCCGGCCCTGCACACACCATTGGAGCCATCGCCGGAGGCGATGATAGAGATGCTACAGCAGAAGCCATAGCAACTTGTGCTGGGATTGCACCATTCAACAGCTTGCAAGGCTGAAGAATTGGCCGTCACTATTCAGCCTGGTCTACACCACACTAGCTATGAAGTGGCTTTTTCTGGCCAGTGAATCCCTACTTTTTGGCCTTTTTCTTTTTTTCCCGCACACACATCACACCACATACTCCGGCATGCGCTGGCTGTTGGTAACCACCCAGGAGAATGAAAGAAAAGTCAGGAAGAGTCTGAGAAAGAGAAGAAAGACGTGTGTGACCATAATCGTTGGGAATCGAACCCGCAAACTATCGATTGGAAATCGCTGCACATACCACTGCACCATATGGGACACACACAGACACAGACATACATGATTGGCAGGTACAACAATTCACCTTTAAGCCGCCATGCATGATGGAAGCAGACCAAAACCACTATCTGGCACAAGTGCACCGACTAACCAAACTAGCTGGCACACACATACATACACACGCACACACACACACACACACACACACACACACACACACACACACACACACACACACACACACCTCAGACCTCAGACCTGCCCATCGCGGAAGCGATGATAGCGAACAGCTATGTTAGACAGAGCAACTTGTGCTGGGATTACACCATTCAACAGCTTGCAAGGCTGATGAATTGACCGCCACTATTTTTAGCCTGGTATCCACCACACAGCTGATTGAAGTGACTTTTTCTGGCCAGTGAATCCCTATTTTTCATTTTTCTATTTTACACACACACACACACACACACACACACACACATATCATAGCAGGCCCGGAGCCAGCTCCTGAAGGGTGGTACGGCCACAGGTCCGACCCAGGACTGATTATTACTAGGGCTGAAACGATTATACCGAATAATCGAGTACTCGTTTGATAACTCTAACGATCGAGCAATCGTTTAGATTACCGATTACGATTATTTTGCGTTTTTTAAATTTGTGTCCAGAAAGTACTGTAAACCCTCGTTTTGTGAAGTTTGAATCAGTTTCCGCTGGGAGTATGCAGTTGCCAGGGGTATGGTTCATGTTCTGAGGTTAAATATTGACTTCAAAACTGCCATGTTTCAGAGCTACCCTTTCACTAATGCAGATTTGTTTGTATTATGAAGGCATAGTTTGTGGAAACAGAGTAATGTTTGCACGGAATTATGACTCTATTTGCTAACGATTATAATCGATTACTCGATCGTTAAGCTAAAGAGTAATCGATACGTGAAAATCCACGATCGCTTCAGCCCTAATGATTACCCAATTTCAAAATCCTGGGATACATCTCTAGCCGGTGTAGCACATCTGTTTGCTTCATCTACACATCTGTTGTACATGCAGCTGCGCTTCTGTCTCTTTGCCGTACATGCTGCTGCGTTTGTGTCTCTTTGCCGTACATGCTGCTGAACCATGGTACACGCTGCTGCACTGTCTTTGAGCCCTTTGTACATGCGGCTGCACCGTCTGCTGTCCCCTCGACAGCTAGCGCAGTAGACCTCACTGGACAAGAACAGTTTAGGAGGGAGAAACTCTAGCGAGGAGCCTATGAGGATAGCGTATTACTAGTACTTTCAGATAATCAAGTGCACGCTGAGCAGCACATGAATGCTGGAACTGGTGAAAATTGGTACAGCCATGGTCGCACCGTGCCAGCCATACCAGTCACACCGACCCTGCATAGTACACCAGTCAAACCGACCCTCGCGGCATAGTACCTTTAGGTCACCATACTCAGTGTCATCATGCGCTCATGAAGGTCCCGGTGTGGCTTTTCTTTTCAAATTTCTCCCCTCTGCTTCACCATCGGCCCCTTTACATGAGTGCTGTAGCAATGTTTGACCTTCCTATTTATACGACAGCTCTGGCACTGTTGGCTCTCGAAAGTTTAACTACATACAGCATTATGTTACTACTAAATTCAGGATGCCACTATAAGTTTAGCCACTCGTTGCTACATGTGCTGTGTTCCGTGTAGCAGACATTTGATAACTATTTTCGTGTCGGCATCAGTGAAGCCCGTGACTGCGGTACGGCCAAGGTACCTACTTACATTTGGTGCCAGCAACACCTCCAGCCAACTCTGGAAAGAATTCCAAATATTCTTCCCATGAAATAAGGGTGCATGGAAGACTAAAATTGCACTGGGAAGCATCTTATGAAAGCCTATTTCTCCAGAACAGACCTGAAGCATATACTAAATAATTAATTTTATGGTGCTCGGGCATGCCACTAGTTCGGGCTAAGACCCAGTAAGAGCAAGGTAGTTTTCCTAAACTACTGAAACACACAGATATGTAAACAAGCATGATGCTTGTGCACTGTTCAGAACACTCTTAGTTCATTGATGGCCACCTTCACAGGCTACTGTACCTGCCTTCACAGGCTACTGTACCTGTCTTCACAGGCTACTGTACCTGTCTTCACAGGCTACTGTACCTGTCTTCACAGGCTACTGTACCTGTCTTCACAGGCTACTGTACCTGTCTTCACAGGCTACTGAGTACTGTACCTGTCACCCTAGTACATGTAGTCACTATCAGACATCCGTTGTACGAGTGTCGTACTCTCAGCATCTGCTCAGTGTGTGGTATGGCCACTTCATTTGGGCTGCGAGTCCAAAACCTCTCTCATACCCCACCCCTAGTTATGCACCTGCTCCAAGATCAAAACTTGCTAAACCGATGTCATGTGTGCTATTGCGGGCCTTCCCCACTGATCAAAATGTAAGTCATTCGGAGTTACGAATATTTCAAATTTACTGCCCCTACAAAAGAGGCACATGCCACACAGGTGCGTGTGTGCGTGATATGTGTATCTTTTGTCTTCTTTTTTTTTTTACAAAAAAACACACACACCATTTGACGGCACAAAGCAGCAAGGCAGCGATGAGACATATGGAATGGCAGGGGTGGGGGAGCCTGAGGCAGGAGCAGCTTTGCCGACCATAGGGTATCAGCTGCATTGCGACCCAAGCACTCCACAGAAACAAAAGATTACACTTACAGGAAAGATGCAGGGGGTAGTTTACTGGAGATTATGGGGAAAAGTATGCACAATATCAGAGAGTCAAAAGTGAGTGGAGGAGGGAGCAGGGCTTTTTTCGTCTTTTTTCTTTAGTTCATAGCCTGTAAATCGCCCACTCCCAGCGGGTAGGGCATTGACATTCTCCTTGAATGTCTGCAGTCCTTCCCTCAAGTTGTTATGTACAATTGTGTGTGTCACGGAGCAGGGGCGTTGGACACGCTATGGTCACTACGGTATTGACCGTACCACTATTTGTCCCAGGTGCCCTGTGAATCAATAAAAAGGTACTGATTTGGGCTCTAAAATCGAAAATGTTCAGAGGAGCCACCCAAATCCCAAAAGTAATTATTGTACTTCAGGTGGTTGACAGTACCACCCTAAACTACCTTCCGACGCTGCCTCTGCTGAGTGTACACTGCTACACTGCTACATGTATACTATTGTACTGGAAACAATGCTACACCCATCCAATGTCCAATTATACCACGATTTCTGAATGGTGTATGGGGAGTTTGCAAAGCAATTCTCGAACCTTGCAAATCATTTCATGGCAATCGTAGTAACGACCACTTTACTAACGTTCACTGCCCAAACTACCTACCACTTTCATCGTTGCAGCGTCGTGTCCGCAATGTGATTGAGATTGGTTACTTCTACTGACATAAGCACTCCGCTCCGCGGTTTAGCTTGTGCACGCTTCACTTCACCACACACGTCGTACAGATCCTGTGTAAAGGAACAACAGCAACCGACGTTACACAGGTATGGGGTAAGTGACCGCTGGGCCATGGGGCTAGTGTAGCAAATTCTTCAGAGGGAACGACATGACGTTGCATTCTATGTACGAAACGGCCACTTTTATCATTCATTCGACGAAACATCTCAAAATCAAAACGCTGTCCACTGGACAAGAGCTCGGACCACATCGTCGTCTTCAAAATCCCATTGTCCAAAATAGTTCTTACCCTGAAGCTCTCCGACGTAGCGACTTCCTGTGCTAAGCTCAACTTCCCAGTCCGAGCGTGCGTGTAAGCTGCTGACTCGTTCCTCGGTTCAGCGCGAAAAGCATACGACGGTGAAATCCAAACTATCTGAACATCCGATCTGTTGCGTTACGGACCCAGATTTCAGAAAACGCGCCTAGCGCCTGTGACCGGGGTGTGGGCTCAGACCCGGCAGTCTACCACAGAACAGTCGACCAGAGGCCGAATGGGACAAGTCTCCAAAGGAATGAGCAGGCGAGCCACTGATCTGTTGCAAGGGCACTCAAACATAATCATTGGATCTTCTTCCGAAGGCATCACCGGAGTGAAGTCAAGACATATTCCTGGTGACTGGGTTTCTCTGAGAAGTACCGCGGCTGTCACAATCAATAATGCCTGCGCCACTCTCCCGATTCGACTCTCGCGTCTCGTGAGCTGCTCCCTCGGCGAGGACAACCAGTGGCAGTGACCTGTGTAGCAGTCACTACAGTGCAGTGTAGTACTGGCCCAGTGTTTTGCGATGGGGAGTGATCGACGCGTAAATAGCTGGAACCGTGGAAGCTGCCATTTGTGCCAAGTAACTGTAAGCCGATGTTGTGGATGATAAACTCGCCCGTTGACAGTGAGTTTGATACAAGCGAAGACTGTTCTGACAGTAAAGTTGGGTAGTGGATCTAGAGCCAAGTAGAGGAATGCTGGTTGTCTGTTCATGAATGTTTTGCGCCCAGCGTCCAGCTTTATTGGCCTATGCATGAGAATGTGCCCGGTGGGCATGTTTACAACCGAGCCGTGAGGCGCTGCAGAGCCGGAGGCCTCTCGAAGACGTGCTATGCTCGGAGGAGAGACAAAGCATTACTCCCATTACGCATTAGTACACAACTACCGGTACTCTGCTGTGATGCTGAGGCCGCTGAGTAAGTAGGCAATACGTGGTGGTAGTGTGTGTGTGTGGGGGGGGGGGGGGAGGGGGGGGGGGAGGGGGGGAGGGGGTACATACACTGTAATTGTACCCGAAAGTACAGTGCTGGCAACTGAAATCCGACCCCCTGGCCCGGGGTCGGATTTCAGTTGCCAGCACTGTACGTACACTCTAGTCTTGATTATACTAATTTATAGGGCTTGAAAGTGCTACGTCACAGCATAGCAACAATTTCAAAAATTCAAAAACTGGATCCACTTGGATCCAGTTTTTGTATGGATCCAAGCGCATTTCAAGCCGTCTTACTCACAGCAAGGTGATGTAACCAGTGAAACTGACTGATTTGGCTACTGGGGGCGGGGTTACAACTGGTGACGAAGTAAAAGTCACCCCTGCATACGACATGAGTGAGTTGCTATGCACCCACATACTGAGGCAATAGCAAAGTCACACCTCAGTGGATCCAAAATAGAAATCTGATGTCAAATTACTACTCCCTGGCCGTTTTTGACGTCATCACTTTCAAGCCCTATTCCAAGCAAGAAAGGGGTATACTGGGCTCAGTGTAGTCTAGTGAGTAGTGTAGTCTAGTGCATCCCGTGGACCAGCAGTGCAGACAGAGCAATCTGTGGTTTGTATTTGTGCTAATCAGTTGAGATCAAACAACCAGGTTTAATACCCTGTAAATGATTGATTGCCTTTGTTGAATGGCCAGGGCCCAGGTGCTCGCTGGACTTGTTTTTTCATGCATCATGACCAGTCGTATGGGCATTCATACACAGTCACTGGTTACTGTGCTGAGTCCACAGCTTCGCCACAGCTTATGGCAAGTGAAGTTATCATGGTTATGCGATGAAGGGGGGAGAGAGCATCTTGTACAATCATAGACCATAGCTAGTATAAATTTTGATATCTGAGCTGACATGAAGCATGACAAGGTCTGCTACACATCATCCAATCAGTTTCAGTAGCTGACATCAGGGATTTAGAACCTGAATCGGAATGCTGACCGTCAAATTGCAAGGACCCTAGTCACATCATGATAATTATTATTAATTTTATAAAGAGCAAACAGTCACTGTGACGAAATGGGTCAATGCCAAAGTGTTGATTGCAGTACGCGCCGGACGGTACCAACAACAGTACATACATATATGGGGTAATGTTTAGGCCTAGTCACTGAATGTTCTCTGGCAGTCCATGATCGTGAATGAGTTGATTCAAAATTGAGATGAGAATGGCATTGACAGGCGATTAGGTGACTATGCAGACATACGTTTGGATGTGGCATGGCCCTAGTGGGCTGCTATAGAATACTGTAATTTCACAAATTTTCGGTATACTTTTATTTTCGGTACTTTCGGTGCGTCTGTTTCATACCTAAAATTTCAATACACCGAACAAACACTAACACACATAATCCAATAGGGAACTGCTTCTCTGTACCGAAAATTTCTGTTCACCTAACCTAGCCTGTTGCCCTCATACCGAAAATATTGAGCACCGAAAATTTCTGAAATTAGAGTATTGTATGGGCTAGTGGTCAGTCCCTGTGCAAAGCCAACGCCAGCAAGTTTCATGTTCATGTAGCCACAAAGAAGTAACATTGCCGTTGTTCTAACTGTGACGCCCAGGTCACGTACACGTATACAGGAGAATGGTTTGAGATGAACTTTCGTTCGGAACTGGGGTTCACGCTCCAAAATTTAGAGATCATGTAGGTACTGAAACGAATCGAGCAAAAACGGATGTCTCGTACGAGAAATTGTGGGTTTGAGTGCATGCTTTCAGAGCGTGATGAAGGCCAGTTACGTAATGAAGGCAGCGCGCAAGCACTGACCCCTAACCATGATAACAAGAGTACATAAACCTTTTTATGTACTCTTGATGATAACCACAGTTGCATACTCTCGTTTATGCACTCTTGGTACTACTACTTGAAGCAAGAGTATATAACCCCCCCCAAGAGTGTGCAACTCTGCATATGGGGTCTCCGACGGCGAAAACTCACATCACATGTCTCAGATACCTTTGTACTACCAAGAGTACATAACCCCGGGGTTATGTACTCTTGGTACTACGTACAAACGTAGGATAGCGTGCGCGCAATACGAAAATCTGCCGTGATCATGCTGGGGATTTGCATACGCGCAGTGAGTTTCTGTCAGAGAGTGCTTTTTTTAGTACTCCACTGCTCGCTAAAAACGGGCTGGAAACGTACAACTGTGACACTGCACCACGTAATGTGAGTTTTCGCCGTCGGCGTACCCCATAGAAAGGGTATCAGGAGTTGCACACTCTTGGGGGGTTACAATACTCTTGCTTGTACTTGTCCAACCTGCCAGCAACTCCTCTCTAGAACCCAGCATTAAAAATTTTCCATCTTTCTATTGAAGTTCTCATTTCAGCAGTTTCCAGTTCCAAACACTGCAAGGCTTGAAAACACAATGATCTTTCGTGATACATGTACCGTAGTTTGTAGCAGCCTGTAGTGTTGCAGGTCAGGTCTTACAACGTATTGTCACAGTCAGCAGCCAGCCTTGGTACTGGCATCACATGATTCACATCAGCATCGGCATCATCATGAGACGGGTGGGATCAGGATGATGTGCATTGCACATCCATGTATTGCAGTCAAAAAGATGCAGGGATGAGAGCAACTGGTCGACTAGTGCACGGTCACGAAATGAAAAAGTAATGCAAATATGCACGGTGCACAGTCTGTGTGTGTGTGTGGGGGGGGGGGGGGGGAGGAAGGGGCAAGAAAAGCAAATTTAATCGGGCAAATCTGGCCAAAGGCAAGACAACACAGCGTAGCACACGTAAAAAAGAGAGAGAGAGAAAAAGGAAAGTATGAGACAGCAGTAGTATATACAGCTATAGCAGCTATTTAGTAACTGGAAGTAAGCAAATGATTGAAATGCACTACATGCTAATGGCAGTAGTGCAGTGGAGAGCATCCTACTTCCTCAAGTTGAACTATGTAAGCACATGTATAAACTTTCACATGCAGGCCAAACAGCCACAAGGAGCCTGGCACAGCGAAGCACTCTGACGTAAGGAAACAGGTGGGAGCAAATAGCTGCTGCAAACATGGCCACCCGCCAATGAGAACTGCACTGACATCGCTCGTGCGACCAATTGGTTGAAATTTATTACAGAGTAGCACAAATCATAGAGAGCAACATTGCATACCACCATGTAGTTTGACAATACAGCATTTGCGTGCCCTGGATTGCCACACTGCAAACAGCACGCACCGGGCACAAATATGGGGGGGGGGGGGGGAAGGAAGAAAAAAGATGGCTCGTCACCAGTGAGTTCCAACAAGACACTGTCTTATTCCCTGGGAAACACAAGACCAACGAGATGTCAGAGGCGTAGGAGATGGCTGACAAGAACTGGAGCACAGGGTCACTCTCAATAGGGACACAACGTGAGCACACTGCACACTGTGGAAATACACACCCTCTCTCTTAGTCTAGAGAGAAGGGGCAAGAAAAGCAAATTTAATCGGGCAAATCTGGCCAAAGGCAAGACAACGCAGCGTAGCACACGTAAAAAAAGACATTGTCTTATTCCCTGGGAAACACAAGACCAACGAGATGTCAGAGGCGTAGGAGATGGCTGACAAGAACTGGAGCACAGGGTCACTCTCAATAGGGACACAACGTGAGCACACTGCACACTGTGGAAATACACACCCTCTCTCTTAGTCTAGATCATCAGTTCCGCTTCCAGCAGTAGATCGTCGTCGTTGACTGTTCCGTCAAGGTCTGGCTCATTCATGTCGTCGTAGCTTACGTCACCAACAAGTTCCTTCATCGCTTTCTCAAATGCATCGTCATCAAGCAAGTCGATGTCATCGAGCCTAGAACAGCCACAAGAATAAGAAGTTATCCACAGCTGCCAAGACAATATGGAATGGACATTCAGATACTGCTATGGGAACGTCTTGGACGTGACGCATCCAAACTGCAATGTTGTGCCTGCAGCAGTAATAACTGCGCCACTTTCGTTCACAATAAAAGTAGAAAAATGACAGCTAGCATGGGACTCACGTAGACTGAATTTTCACACCCATAGGAACCCTCGAGGATCAAGGTGCAGATGCAGCTTCTGCAGTGGTCGGAGGTGAGTAGATCAGACCCACCATAAAGTTGCCTATAACAATATGGAAAATTCAATCCGCTGCATCCATACAAATTTCATTCGCGCGATGAATCCAGCAGCATTGTGCAGAGTAACAACTCTGACACATTAACACCTGAATCCAGCATTGTGCAGAGTAACAACTCTGACACATTAACACCTGGCAGGTCAGGCGCACTGTGATGGGAATTAGCCAGTAACAAGTACTTACGAATCTAATCCAGACTTGGCATCGGACTTAGTAGTAGTAGTAGTAGCTTCACTTCCTTCACTTTGGGACACCTTCGTAGTGACTGGGGTTTCCTTCTTGGCTGAACAGTACAGATGGAGAAGCAAGCACTTATTATTTATTAATACATTTACAACGGATCAAGCCAGACTATAGCATCCCATTAGGCAAAGAATGATGGAACATACACACCATACACACAAAATCACAGACTAGTAACCCCTACGTCAGGAACGATGTTAATTTGCAAAGCACTTAAAACTTCTTTGTAGCACACTGCAGCCGTGTTGAAGCAAATGGTCTTGCCACACGAGAAGGAAGCAGAACTCACTATCCACATGTAACGAGAGGTGTGGCAGATACCCCAAAGACCATACAGTAAATGCCGAGCCCGGCCACATAAATAAAACAACCAGAGAGAGGTATTGCTTAACAAAAGGCACAGGAAATGACAACAGATCGGAAGTAACATCTTCAAGCACATTATGAAAATAGCAGTAGCAATGCAACTTACCAGAGGAATGACGGCTGGATCTTGTTATCTTAGCAGGTGGTGCTGCTGGTGTGGAACTCTTGGTAGGTGTAGTACTCAGTACGGGACTACATACACTCTTGCTTACTGAACTGGAAACCACTGCTGGTGATTCCTTGCTGGTTGAAGATATAGCTGCATCAATGCGAGGCTTTCTTGGCAAGCGGCTACTTCTTTGAATTGTGGAAGTCCGAGTCTCTGCCGGTTTTCTTTGACAGGTTTCTGCTGCAGATATAGTGTTGTCACTAGTGGTCTCCTGATGCTTGCGTTTCTCAGCACGGATTTCATCTAAAGACTTGATGCGAAGACCAGCAGAGGTGGGCGCTGGTGTGGCCGCTGGAACAGCAGCAGGCTATGGAGCAGTCAGAAGAATGGCAAGAGAGACACTTTTAAAACAGCTGAAAGGCATTGCATCGGCTGATGAATTAACACAGGGCAACATGTAAACCATCCGCTGCACATTACACACACATGACAAAGCACTCTAAAGCAGTGCATGAAGTTGTTAGTTAGTTTGACACATAAGTGGCGTGAAGGGGGGATGGCACCTTTCCGGAACAGCTCGACAGCAAAAAATGAAGAAAGCAAGCCACGCGTAAATAGTGGTGGACACGCAAGCTTCACTTTCGACCTTGGTGCAAAGTTTGGTCTTCTAGTGTTGTGAACTGCTGTTGTAAGCAGCATTGGTGACACTGCAACAGTTACTAATTATACAAAGTCATGTAGCAGCATGTAGTACCTTTTTGCTTGCTTCTACAGGGGGCAGGGGCAGTGGCTTGGTGCTGGCATGCACCTTAGATCTGGGTTCTCTTCTCTCTTCTTGTTCTGTGTCCTGTCGACGCTGCTGCTGGAGCTCCTGTTGCTTGGCAAAGCGTTTGGCTCTTAGCTCTTTGACGGACAGCCCACTGGACTGAAGAGGCTGTGATGATGATGTCTGCCTCTGAGCAGATGATGATGCCTGCCTCTGAGCAGATGAAGATGGTATTGACACAGGCTTCTTGGTAATACCATTTGCATGACGAATTTCATTCAGCGACTGGACTTTGAACGTGTCCGCCTTAACTTCCACCTGCAATGAAAAGCAACATAAACAGGAGAGGCACAGAACTACATACCACCGGCAGGAAAAATAAACACTTGACGTCATTCAAGGTACAATAAGCCCCCAAACCAGCCACACACAGAGAGGAAGAGATGCATGCACGTTTACCCAGGAACTCAAGAACGCAAAATAAATATTGCAAAGTAGCTGCCAGTGCGGTTGAAGTTCGGCAACTAATGGATAACGGGTGAAATGACGGGGATCCTCAAAGGACACAGCCAAAATCGTCAACAAAAAGGATTGCACATGAATCTGTCAACTTTCAGCACCAGGGCATACATATCCTTGCACGTGCCCTTCAAAAGAAAAGGATTCGAAAGGTGTGCTCTAGATTCATGTCTGTAAAACTCAATAGTCCCTTTCATAAATGAAGGCAACACCACTATAAGAAGCATGCATGTATATTGGTGCATGCGTGCACCGACAGTCACAGACAGACAGCCACACCCAGTCACACCCAGTTACACACAGTTACATCGTGTCACACACACACACACACACACACACACACACACACACACACACACACACACACACACACACACACACACACACGAGTCATTCATTGATATACCAGTGGATGTACATGTATACAGTACCTCAGGCCTGTGTCGTTTGGCTAAAGGCTTTGTTTGCTCTTCTTGCTGAACAGGTGCTGTCCTCTTCGTGGGCAACAAAGGACGTGGACCACGCCTTGCAGTTTCAGATCCATGCAGTTGATTTAGACGATCGCGAGCATCAACCCGCTGGTTTCGGCTCATTGCTGGAGTTGCTCTTCTCATATCCATACTAGAGTCAGCTGCAGTTGAGTCGGTGGCAATCCCTTGTGTTCGTGGGTGTCGCGGTCTTTCTTGAGAATTGCCAATAGTGCGGGTGGGAGCGCCGCGCTGTGCACTGCGGTCACCAGGTACGGTGACCCGCAACTTGAAATCAGATGAAAGCGCCTGTGCTGGTCCAACTGCAGAGTAGATAGGACAGTAAGGGTTAGCATCAATGATGGATTGTCTTGATGGATGGCAAGCAGCATAGATACCGCGCGCATCCAGAAACTGTCATCGCACTGTCAAACAGAAACGAATTTCTACGCGTGAGACACCAGGGTTCTAGTAAGGGGGGGGAGGGGTGTAAGGGGGTGCAGTGTCCCTCTTTCACAAGCTATGGATTGTGAAAATCCATCAAAGTGAAGTGAAATTGAAATAGATTTCACTCGGAGCTGTGTGTGCAGCTTTGAACAGGTGAGATCATTGTGTTGACAGTGCGGACAATACAGGATAGCAGGTTGGCATGGATAGGCTGACGGACTTACCCACGCAACCGTCATTTTGGCAGCAGTATGATCAAATCTGCACACTTTTCCATGCCTTTCATGCACTACGCTGCAGTTAAGTAGGTTCATTCAACTACCGTAGCTGGGATGTACAGGTCCGTTGCGCTTTTGAACTCTGGCCACGTCTGACGACATCAGAGAGCCAAACGGTTACGAAAGAAGACCATAGCAAAATTCCATCATGGATAAAGGAAAAGCAAGCAAAACAAATGAAGTAAAGCCATAGATACTGTAGAAGTACCAAAAAGCATCAGTAGATAAAAGTACAAACATATTATCCATCACATACCATTGCAGGTGACCCGAGGTCTTGTAGATGATGTTATCTCATCACAATCAGGAACGACAAGTGTAATCGGCACAGCAGCACGTCGAGCTGCTTGCACCCGTGTTGATGCCACCGCCACCGCTGCCGCTGGTACCATACGTCTTGAAGCAGTCGGTCTAGCTGATTGGGCATGATGATGATGAGGGTGGCGGCTCTGCATATCACTACGCGGCTGCTGCTGCTGTACTGGTGGCGAGGAGTCTGCGGACACAGCAACAGCACCTTTAGGAGGCTGTACCAAACGGTTTGCATTTTGGTTCGTAGCTGAAACTGGCAACTTCCCTCCTTGCGGGACAGCAGTGTCTAAAGCAGAAGAGAGGAAAACACCAGTCCATGAGCAAAGTAGATACTACTCGTATACCAATGGACAACCAAACACCAATCATAAGTTTGAGGGAAAGTTGACGAAACTTACATACTACTATAGAGCATAGACGCACATGCACCGTGTCATGGGGACGTAATCCGCACACATTTTCAGGGTGAAATGGGCCTTGTTGCTTCATACATCTAAAAAGCAGTGCAGCAGCCATTTTGCCGGACAGATTTGTATATACTTAAAAAAAGTATCTCGTACACAGGTTATCATTGGGCGCTTTCGATTACACAATTCTGGAACTGTTTTTTTTAAATTCTGGAATGACCAGAATGAGCGGATTCCGGCCTTGTAAACGAACGACTGGAATTCACAACACATTTTATTCATGTCATGTCACAAACAAAATTGATGAATCGTAAAAAGAGATAACGTACACCCTCGCGCGCACGTGGACCCAGCATCGCGCACACGCCGGCCAGGGAGGCTCTTCGCGCGCTTGAGTCATGACCAGACCGGTAACACACCGACTGTGCAATTCTGGCGCCAGAATTAGAGAAATTCCGCCCTCTCTTCAGAATTGACGGATTCGACGGAATTGGATAAAATCAATTCTAACGACGGAATTTGTCACTTTTTGTGTAATCGAACTGTGCATCAACAATAACTAATTCCAGAATTGACCGAAATGCGTGTAATCGAAAGCGCCCATTGTGCACTAGGGCTAAGTAGTCTTACACCAAACAGCAACTGCTTACGGTTGACTGGCTTTCCTTGGGGTGTGGGCGCAATGGACGTCACTAAGTGCGTGTTGGTGGGTTGTCCTTGGCCAGTTTGCGGAGGTGCACCAGGACGGGGCTTCAAATGCTTGAATGGGCAGAACGGCTTGGTACACCCCACTGGCTGAGACTCCCAGTAGCATGGCATGCTGCCGCGGTCTTTCTGCAAACAGTGACCAAGAGCACAGCGAAAATAAAGAAACTCAGAAAGCATCACCATGTGACACAGGATAGTCTGTAATGCGCACATCTGCACGCTGGCATGCTCTCATGGCTTGTGTGTGTGTGTGTGTCGGAGTTGACCAGCGAGATAAAAGTGACAGAAGGACAAAAACTGACTGGCTATTAAAGAAACACACAAGGATAGCATACAGTCAACTTCGCTAATAACGACTGCGGATATACCGACAATTTGCGAATAACGACAGAATTTCTATGCCCAGAGCAAAGTCCCATCTAACTGTATACAATTAACTTTGGATGTAACGCCTATCTGGGTAACGACAATTCACGAAAAGTATGATTTTAGTGCCTGAGGTCAGCCACTGCTTGAGTAAGACTGGTCAGGGCTTTTGACAGCTATGTCAAGTACCTGCCATGCAGAAGTACCAGAACCCATGGCAATGGATAAAGGCACACATGCAAGAAGATGCAGCCAAGGGGGGGGGGGGGGGGGGGGTATTCAATTTTTTTAAATTTTGCATTGACATAGAGCATGGAAAGAGCTTCATTTTGATACGCATGTCATACTATACAAATTATGGGTTCACATACTGTATGATACATTCAAATGAGACTTCGGGTATAAGGACACTTCGCGAATAAGGACGCTTTTCTGATGCCCCGCCGAGTGTCGTTATTCGCAAAATTGACTTGAAATATTACAACAGAAAAAGGCAACAGAGTGTGCAGGCAAAGCAACCACACATACTGGCTAGTATACTTACTTGTATTACCATGTGGCGACGTGCACAATTCGGAACAATACAGCTTCCTTTGGCCCAATCTGGACAGACCTCTTCCTTGCCAAGTGCAGGTGCACTGTGTCGGAATGGACAAGCGGGTCCCTTCTTGCAGCTCGAGTAGTAGAAGAAGTAGCAATCATCACCAACTTGAGCCATCTGTTGTTCAAACATTATTGTTTAAAAGAAACAACAGCGCCAATTGACTATAAAAAGAGTAGCGCAAGATTGAACTGGTAAAGTTTTGTGGCCTCATAACTCCGGTATGGGGCAAGATATTCCTTTCAAATTTTCGTGTACTAGTATGATCTGCAGGGGTGCCTCTGTCCAGTCGTGTAATTTGTTGGCTATAATTCCGATTTTAAAATGTTGGACTGAAGTCCGTAAAATCCCGCCAGAGCGCCCCTACCTCCTCGACGCTTTGTTGGGGAGGGGCGGATGGGCGAGTCCTACTTGCCGCATTCAGTACTACATGAAAAAGTACTCACCCTACGAAAACTGTTCGTGCATCTCGTACACCGACCAAAGGTCAAGAGCCAGGAGTCATACAGACCCGTCAAAACTCAGGGTTTGTGCGATCCCTGGTCAAGAGGGTGGGCACTGTTGCGTACATTTCCAACGGGGTCAAGCACGCGTCTGCAGCACAGTACGGTGGCACAGAGTCATACGACGTGGATACAATCAATCACTTCCCTGGCAAGAAGTCAGGGAGGGGCGGATGGGAGAGACGGGGCGCTCTGGCAGGATTTTACGGTAATAATGTTTTGCAAATAAAATAATTCGTACACTAAATTATCATGCAAACCGATCATGTACTTACACTTGCAAAGAATAGTACACTGGCAACTGGTGCGGCTTCAGATATCAGCTGGAAAGAGAAGTACAATCATGTAGTTGAACACGACCACGGAAAAAGAGATGAATCCTGGTCAGGTGCCTTGGATCTTAGGATTACTGCCCAAGACGACAATGTGGAATAAAGTTACAAAGGCCAGGGACGAGAGGCAGTGGAAGCAACGGCCGTCCGTACTGAAGCTCATGCACCAGTTGACGCACAGATATGTCACCGCTTTTCCTCTTGGTTCTGGCGACCCTCGCAACACACAACGCAATACACATAACAGCAGGACACAGGTTACGATCATGATAATTTGAATCTAACACAACTAAAACGAAAAAAAATGTTTTGCAGTCCCAAACCACTGCTACCACACCGCACACTAACCAACAAACAAACGCACCAACACAGGCACATGCTAGTCCCAGATAACACGATAGTATAACTAACCTCACAAATATTACACAGGCCGAGCCGTGCAACAAGAAGGGCAGTTTCCACTTTTCAATTCGCTCAACAACAAAATGTACGGCAGGATAGTAGAGCGTTTCCAAGATAAGCTGCCGTGCTCATAGACGGGACTGATATTACGCGATAGCTGAACTGACACGTACAGCAACCCATCAAACAACCAGCTCTCTTCAAAGTAGCAGTATGGACACTATGGTCTTTGTTTGGTTCAAGACTTGAAAACCATAAAGAACCCTACGCAAAAACAAGAGCAAGAGCGCATAAACTGCTTTGACAAGAATATTGCCAAAAAAAATTAATCATGTTGGCTTTTCACCAGGCCAGGCCAGGGCCTACAATGTAGAGGTATATTATGTATCAGATTGCAACGACCAGGAGGCTCTTAGTAGTGGCTGCAAATGACCGATATCCGTCACTTGCAGCTCTGCATCAGAGACCTGTAGCTGGCCTGAAGAGTTGTAAAATTACTCCTTCGTAGCCGGGCGAGTCAGAGCGAGGGCGATTCACGGCTTGGTCAAAAAACTGTCGGCCTGGAACGTAAACGTGGATCTGCCGACACAGTTCACCTGGTTCACACGCCTGACCTGGCATGCTGCCTTGCGTGAAAGGAACATTTTTCCGAAAGCAAGCTTCTTCTCCAAAATTCGAAATTTCCTTCCAAAAATGCCGTCGTCCTTGACCTCGAAGCTGAATGTTGTTAGGATAGAAAATTAGCGAAGATGTAGCCGACCCATTCTGGCAAGCCGTGTGCCCTCTGGATATGCAGTTGTTCGCCATGGTCAACAATCTTCTTCTCCTTCGTTCGTACTTTCACTTTCCTGACCACGAATACAAGCGGTACCCATGCTCAGGTTAGTGTTTATTTGTCTGTCTATGCACATACATGTATTACAATGTACTGTTCGTGCTGTAGGCACTGGCCGATCATGGAAATAGAGGAAGCAGCCAGCTTTCTTTGAATTCTCGTGCTTTCAACAAAAATATGTACACACTTTCCTTGGCTCCTCTTTCCCACCGCCACCATGCATGCACAATCGAGCTTGCTTTAATGCCCTGCAGTGCAGAATGCTTCCACCACCGCAACTACCACCGCCGCCACCACTACCAGCAGCAGCAGCCGCAGCAGCAGCAGCAGCACCACCACCACCACCACCACCACCACCACTGTGACCACCACCACCACCACACCACCACCACCACCACCACACCACCACCACACCACCACCACTACCATCACCGTGACCATCAGTCCATCACTATAGAAGCATTGTCGTGCACAGCACGTCTGCAAGAGAAAATAATAGTACGCCAGTGCTGTAATGCCCTGCAGTGCAGTATGCTCCCGCCACCACCACCACCACCACCACCGCTAACGTTATGGAAGCATTGTCACGCACTGTACATCGATCCACAAGAGAAAATAGGCCAGTGACTTACTAGCAGTAGCACCTCCATGCTGCATGCGAACCTGGACACAGCACTGTTCCCTCTGCAGGAAAGGGGGCGGGGTGTATTTCATTGTCCCTGCTTGAAGTAATAATGACTACATGACAAGATGTCCAGCTAACTTTGCCAGTAACGAACGACCCTTGATCGGGCATGAGAAAAGTGTTGCTATTTGGGAGCTGGCGTCATTCACGGGGTTGAAAATATACGGCTATATTGTTACTAGGTCTGAAGATAGTCTCACTATCCGTGGGTTGTTATACCCGTGGTTGACTGCAGATACGTTTGGATTATTCTATGAGTATGTGAAGGGTATACGTTAAATATTTTCCCGAGGATATAGCACGAGGAAATTATGGGGAATGCAGTACATGTATAGAATGGTGCAATCCATTTCTCCCAGGGCACTTTCCCAAGACTCCTTCCAATATTCACTCTTGGCGCGACCCATGTGAACTGAGCGGGGTGTATCGTTGAATATACCCCTCTCAGAACGTCTACTGATTGGCTGAAATCGCCCAAATCATACCGTGCCATGGATCAATGCATGTCAGGGAGTCGTAGCACCCAAGGAAACAACACGAGATCATGATACCCAAAATGATGTACTGTAAAAGCGGAAATTTTCAGTGGTGTTTTATTTTCGGTAACTTCGGTGCCGACAATTTTTACCGAAAAATGCACCGAAATTTTTCGGTACTACTTAGTAGTGCTAGCACCCTTACCTGGAAAGCGGGTATTACCGAAAATTTCCCTCCACCGAACCACCGATTTTGGAGAATTCCGAAAATATTACACCATCAAAAATGTCTGCTTTTACAGTACACAGATTGGATCCATGGAGATTCTACATGATCCGTGGTTTATGCAACTCGTGATCGCGGACTTGACCCACTGGCCCCAAGCATGGGTCAGTCAAGCGATGCTATATGCGAGCATGTATGTATCGCACTTGCCCCTAAGGCAGTAAGGGCAACTGTCACTGGCAGCCCGGGGTTGAACCCACATTATTAATTTTGGAAATTTTCTAGGGTGACACGAAAAGCTTCACGCACTGGGTGGTCACTCTCTATTCATGTATACCACTCTGCCAATAGTGCATAGAGCTCTCTTTTGAGCTGCCCAGCTGGCCCTCGTTTAGGCTGAAAGCCTACCGTGCCGTCTCCCTTATTATTATTTATGCTATGACTCCATAATGCATAATTATTATCAAGAGTACATAACCCCCCAGAGTGTGCAACGCCGATCCAGCTCTGCATAGGGTCTTGGTCGAGCGGAATCGGATCTTCTGATGTCATGCGTACACTCCACACCAGCTCAAGGCCGGTCTCGAGGCAGGGCACCATTGTTTTTGATCCAAGAGTACCCGCGACTCCCCGGGTTCCCCTCAGATGTGTATGGTATTATGACGCAAAGATCCGATTCCGCTCGACCAAGACCCTATACCTGTATACAGAGCTGGATCAGGCGTTGCACACTCTGGGGGGTTATGTACTCTTGATATTATGTACAGAAGAAAAAAATCCCGGGGCTCCGTTGATGAAATTCTGTTTTGTCAAGTGGGCATTTTTGATTATTGTGAATGGCGTGTAGTGCCATAGTACAGTTCCTTTTGCTACGTAACGTTTGCACAAGTCACGTTTCAGCAATTGAACTAGGAAGATCTATGTCTCTGATCTTGTCATTTGGCCCGGCTGGTACTGTGCATTAACAACCATTGTCAGGCACCCTCGAAAGACCAACAGCGACGAGTTCATGACCCAAGCATTATCTGGGCCGTTAAGTTGACTAAACGGGAGTGTAGCAAGCTTTGATCGGCGTACTTCCTTCCGTACGTAGTGAAATGTTGTCCGAGCTGAATAGATTCTATCTCCTGCGGTTTAGTACAATAGTTCCACACCTAATACTGTAGATTCGACGTCTCCAAGAAAAATCTCCATGGAGACTGGAAACTATAGCAGATCATAAATGAAGCAGCAGCTCAGCTGATTCCCTAGCTCGTGTCTAGGTTCATGTACTTTGGTCAACGTGTTGTGGCAGACTCCATGTGCAAAGCTGCATACTCTTGGGGTTATTGATTCTTGCTTATAATTCATGCATAGATATGAACATCATAATAATTGAATGTTGGCAAGACCCAACAAGGTGTCCCTTAGATCAGATCTTCACAAAATGCACATACTGTAAGACATGTATATATAACGAGGAAGCAAATCTAACGTTTTAACGGATGACATTTCTTCGTTATAATAGATCCATTGAGGCCGTACTGCTTCATATATGCTGTGTGTGTATATGGCAGAATACTGCAAGATTGTTAACATATCTTCTCGTTAACCTATGAATTTTGGACAATCGTTAAATGTGCGACTCGTTATAATAACATGTCTTACAGTACATCTTGAAAAGCCGTATTTTGGTTTCACATACACGTCTCATTTCTATCACAGAGATCAGCAGCCATGGGCCATTGGTGGCAATACTGGTAGGAGTCGCCCAAGGCTTAGCCAATAATTTCCGTTCTATACCCAATATACATACCCGAACTGGGCACAAATCTATCCCATTCCTTGGTGCTGACCCCTTTGATGCGCCCCCGAATCCCTTAGCATTATTAGTACGTCCAATTCATTTCGTGATCAGCTCACCGCATGCTCAGTACTGTGTTGTAAAGTATGCAAATTTCCGACGCTTTTAAATTGCAGCCTCCCCAGGGCAAAAACACATCTCGGCCACATTGAAATTTCAGCCTGTACTGCTGATGCCTGTATGCACTGTCACGTTGAACCTTGCAAAACGAATTTTAGGCTACAAATACCCAGTAAATAAAAGGGGAGAAGGCACTGAACGAAGCGTCAACCTACGAATACAACCTCAGTGCAACAACGTGCTCTTTCTCTTTCTGCTTGTGTAAGCAGAAAGAGCACGTTGTTACACTGAGGTTGTATTCGTAGGTTGACAGTTCGTTCAGTGCCTTCTCACCTTGGGTTACGTAATCTTGTTACCTTTTGCGTTTCCTCTAGTAGATAAAAGGGGGGGTTGTCAAATGACAACCGCTCTATTCAGTTGCTATTCACTCCTGGCGCATGCGCTGGACGAAAAATTCTTTTATTAGTGATGTCGAAAAAGTATGCGGTTGTCAGTTGACAAACCCCCTTTTATTTACAATTCAGTTGCGTGATGTCCACCACTTTCCGAATTAAAAATGCACAGGCCGTTAATAGCCGAAAATAAAATATGCGCCGAATATGCAGTACCTTGTGCACTCTGTTAGAAGACATTAGGGCTACTGGGAATGAATGCCCAAGTAAAATGATGAAGTACAGTAATACAATACTAGGGAGTGCATTTGCCATGAATGCACCAAGCCAACTCTCCTATACAAACAGTATAGTGTTGCTGCCAAAAATATGATTAGCTAAAGTTGCCTTTTTGCATTATTATGGTTGAACTTTTTTTTCCTGTAGCCTCGTTCCCATGCTGTGGATTTAATCACGAAATTTGTTAGCAAGACGAAGAGGTTTTATGTGAGCTTACTATTATTCTACCTGCACTTGCTTTTATCTTTTTTTGTGCAGGACTCTGAGAAGCTGGAGGGACCCCACAAACCTCAAGCATTGAGGATACAACTTTTAACCAAGAACCAGGCAACATGATGTGCATGTATCACGTTCGCTGTGATTGCATCGTTTCAGGGTACACTGACAACATACTAGTACTAGTAACTAGTCCTTGATTAGCAGCAGTGGCCTGAATTATTGCCTGGCCGCTATTCATATAATCCTTTGGTGCT